TATTATGAATGGTATAAGTATGATACCAATCAAAGAATGGGATGTTTTGCTTGACTTTTTCGAGAAATTGATAAAATTCCTCTTGGATATCGGACCTATTTTTTTCCTTATAATTTTGAAAGAACCACTCTCTTTGAGGTTTATATTCCTCAGAGTATAAATCTTTCCTAAGGGTTTCTTTGTCTATAATGAATTTATGAGATAACATCATAAGACTTATTAAGGGAAGAGTAAGTTGGAGATTAGATACTCTGGTTTTCTTCTTCTTTTTCAGAGGTTTGATAGACATTTCTAGGGATTCTAGAAGAGGTATCTAAATCTTGTAGGTTTATAGACGGGTCATGATTAATAGATCTAGGGATTTCAGACCTAGAAACTTGAGATCTGTAAGAGAATGACCTCCTAACAGAAGCAAAACTATAACGACTGCTATAAGCATCTACTCTATAAGAGAAGGAGTTTCTCCTATCAAAGGTTATTTCAACTTTTCCAGAGTTGTCCTAAGAAATATTTTCAATTTGAGGAGCAGGCCTAGGGATACAAGGCGAAGCTTTATCTAAAACCCACTTTTCAGGAAGGAAAACTTCATCCCACTTGATTATTCTTGGGAGAGACACATTAGCCTTTGTCATATCAGTGATAAACAAAGTAGTCTCACCTCTTTGAGGTTTAAGAAGGACTCTAGAAGCACAAGAGTTCATGGCCTTATACTGGATCCTATAAATTAATGCGACAGAAATAAATCCCTCTTTCATGTTTAAACCATGAAAGTATATATTAAGGAACAGAAAGTTAAGGATAGGGTCATCTAAAAGACTCACTGTTTTGTTTGAAAAACAATTGAAATAAATTGGACCTTGGCCAAGACTAGTTTCAACGGTACCTATAAGGGAGTCATTGAAATCATTATGGCGAGCATCTCTAAGACACATAAGGATAGCAACATCTATACCAATGTCTATGAGAGGTTTAATGGCAACTTGGACACATCCTATGTGGAGGTACTTGTATTTACGCTTGTGTTCATTGATAGAAGATTTAGACAGGAGATGAAATTCTTCTCCTAAATCTTTTCCTAAAGGGATATTGTTTTCAACAGTCTTAATGATATAATCAAAATTGTTTTTCTTGGAGTGTTCTTCAGGAACATATAATATATCATAAGGAATTTTTGAGATAGTCCAGTCATCCATACTTTGGTTAATCTTTTCAAAACGAACTTATTCGTCAAAAAGATTATGTTTTGGTGTGATTTCAAGAGACTGATTCTTCTGATAATTGAAAAGAGTGTTTTTGGTAGAAGAGAAGGAGGAGGAGGAGCTAGAACCTGAACGAAAGGATATGCGAGAAAAGGAGCGGAGAAGGCGAGACATCATAAAATAATAATCTGGCACATTACCCTCATTTGGTTCTATAACAATACATCTGTTAATTATTTATAACTCTTTCAACTAGATCTGTTTATTTGTTGACTTTTTTTTTTTTACAAATTCTGAAATTCTTTTATCATAGCCACTAGCTTCTTATGTTCTTTGTTTCTTTTGAATACAATATCGTTGAATTAGTCTTACTGCCCTTTATCCACACGGGACTTACTACTACAACTCTATTCAAAAGAACTAAGAACTGTTGTACTTCCAGTAAAAGCTTTTTCATAAAATAAGGAACTATACAAAAACAATATTTCAAAACCATTAGTTCGTGACGTTATTATAGACATGGACGACCATAAATGGTCTCACCCAAAGGGCCTGTCAGCTATCCAGCTTATAAATCATGGTTGCAGAAATTTAAATTTTCAGATCCAGAAGAACATAGTTATAAATAATCAACAGTTATATTCTTATTTCCCTATCAGACTCTGATACCAGATAACCTGAAGTAAATTAAGGAAGAATAAAACTTATATATATATATAATAAACAAGTTTTTTTTTCACTGTAAATATTAAATGTGTGAAATTATTTTTTTCAAATATATTTTAGAGTTGTTTGTACAATAGTTTATCTATTTTATTTATTTTGTTTTATATATATATATATATATATATATATATATTTTGTCCAATAATCTCTGTTAATGTTATTGATCCTAGTTTCGTGTTTTTTATTTTAGGTTTTATATTTTTTATTGATATTGTTGTTAATTTCACTTTTTGAATTTGAACAATATGTTTGAATGTAACAATATATATATATATATATATATATATATATATATATATTATAATTTTTTTAATAAAAATAAGAAATTTATTTTAACAACAAATTTAACATAATATTTTTTTTTACTAATTATGTAATTTTATATCATTTTGAATTTTATTATCAATAGAATATAATAAAACAAATAAATTATTTGGTATTTTTATATTTGATCTCCTTTCATACTATATTTAATTATTATCATTGACAATATTTAACTATTAAAACCATGCAACATACATGATTTCATGATATTTTAATCTTTGAATTTTTAAAAACACGATAATTTGCTCATTTAATTGCATATTCATAAAAAATTAATCTCAACGACCCTTGTATAAACTACTAGGTAATGTGTCCATTTCTTAACATAATTAATTTATATTTTTTAATAGATATCACTTGCATTACATTCTTGTTTCCCATGCATTCACAACCTTTGACTTAGATACTGATACTCCATAAACATGCATAATTATTATTTTAATTAAATTATGTTTAAAAAGCATACACATGCATTACTTATCAACTCACATTAAAGTTACTAAGTTGTTGTATTGTATTAAAATTTGAAATATATTTATCTAAATTTGACCATTTATATATGTTATAATTCATTTTTCATTGATGATTGATGTTAAGTCTATCTATTTTTTTTATGTTATTTTTTTATATTGACACTTAGATTTATGTATATATTAAATACTTTAACACTCCTACGTTGCAATTTTCACTCATCCACAATTATTATTATTTTTATTTATTTTCTATTAGATTTAATTTGAATCTGACTTGAGTTGTGTACCTGAATATAGTGAATAAATCTACTAATGAAGATTCTTTACATATACAAATACTCTAAATTAATATTTTACTTAAACGATACTAAACTCCTTTACACTTGTACCAATTTCTATAACACTCTTTAAATATAGTTCTCACTTATTTGGTGATTCTTTAAACAAAAAGAAGTATTGAGTTAAAACAGTGACTAGTTCAAAATTAAAAACTTAAATGAATTAAAAAAGATAAAAGTAAATAAAAAAATTAAAATGATCAATTTACTAATTTTGTTAAAAAAATATATAAATATATTTATATTATCTTGTTTTATTTAATAAAATTTAAGAAGTAGTATTTTTTTTCTTAATTTTTAAGATGAAAGTATTTAAAATAAACTAAAATATATTTTATGTCATTTAACATTAATCAACTAATTTTAAATGTTGCTTCTACTTGATTTAGATAACGTATTTTTTTTTTTAATTATAAATTTTCACTTTATCTTTATTTTATTTTATATTTTAAAGAACTGTATAAAATAGAAAAAAAAACTATTTTTATTTAATATCTATAAACGTTTGAGAAACCAAATAGCTCCTAATCTTTCTGTCTTTGGTCAATGAATAGCTCAATCTTTCACGTCCATCGTAGTTTCTTACCCAGTTAATTATTGTGATACCCAAGTGGGCTTTAGATACCCGCTTAGAATGGTACTGGGCTTTTTGTTCAGCTGCTTCGAGATAAAAAACCAAAACAAATCCCACAACGTATAGTCCAGTTTGGCTCGGTCGACGGTGTGGTTACGCCGCTGCTCTGCCGTTCGGGGATCCCTTTGTCACATTCCGCATCATTTTCGGTAGCTTGAAGGTACGTATTTTGCGTCTCCTTCGTAGGGTTTCCGATTTAAACCATCAATTTGAAGTCATGTGATTTGGCTTTAAGCTCTTAGTTCTTCGTCTGGCGAATTGACATGGGTTCAATCTTCGAGTTTCCGTTACCATTATTTATTTATCACTTCCCTGCGTTGCCTCAACTCTAGGATGGAACAAACTTCAATTGAAACTGTTGGTAGAGTTGTCAAACGGGATTAAAATTCATGAACTAACCTCTAAAATCCTATAATTGGCCCTGTCTTTTATCAACCCATTTTATAATAGGGCTGTTTAGCCCTACCCCATACATCTCATAAATAAAGTGGGCTAAAGTACTCAGGCTTGGGGCTGACCCATGGATCACCTCCTCCTGATGTTTTACAACCCGAATAATCTCCCAAGTTCTAACACCGTCACCCTCTGAAACACAATTTTGCAACCGCAAAAGAGAGGAAGGCTTTCGTAAGTTTAACCCTAAGTTCAACAATTTCTTCTTATTTTAAGTATGTCCTTCCTTTTCAGTTTTCTTTTACTATTATACTTCCGAATAAAGTGCTTTCAGTTTTCTTTTACTCATCTTATGGGTTTTGTTTTTTGAGGTGAGTGTGGAGAAAATGAAGGGAAAATGGAGTTTTTGGTTGAAAGGAAATGAATTGATTGGTGCTTTTGATTTGTTTCTTTAATCGAAAATGTGGCTTTTATTTTTACTTTTTTGCTTTTGTTTTTCTATGGAGAGGGTATCTTGCTGTATTGCTTTCTCGGCAGCCAAACAGCGCTTTATTTTCGGATTAATTTTCTGACTTTTTTCAACATGGACCTACCTATATGTACCTTCTAGCTACTGAAAACAAACACAATTTCGCTTCAAATTGCTGGTACGTTTGCGTAAATTTTTTCTTTTTAGGACATTTAGGGAATAATGATTTTTTTTTTAATTTATTTATGAAAAAAAAAAAAAAAGTGAGAAGGGATGCCACGGAAGCAGAGGCTTGATGACACGTTTTTGGCACATTGCCTGCCAACCAAAACCAAAATTCCGAAATGCGCGCGGGCTTTGATTTCTTTAAAATTTAAATTATTCCCTTTCTTTTTCACACCACCAAAACGGCACCGTAGATCTCGCGTTCAATGGCTTCTGTTACCTTTTCCTCACGCCACTCTCTATCGTAATTCCCACTATCCCTTCCAACAAAACCATCACTCTCGTCGTGCTTTCCTTTTCCTCCCCCAAATTGCTGTTTCTGATTTCTCACGCTTTTAACAGGTATGCTGTGAAATTAACCGTGTCTGAACTGCCACTGTCCAATATTTTACCCATTTTATCGTATTATAATGATTGATTAATTTAGTGTGTTTAGGAATTGGGAGTGACGAAAAGGACGAATGAAATTCGGGTATGCATTCACTGAGTATCTGCAGGAAGAGCGAGAGTGGTTGGTCGACGAGAAATGTGCTCATATTGAATATGTGAGGTTAAAAAAAGTGTTGAAGCGTTGCCAGAGAGATACCTCTCTCCATAAAGACCAGTTATGTCAATGTCAATCTTGCCCATGTAAGCGCTCTACTTCATCTTTATATTTGGTTTTGCAGTTTTATTGTGCTTCGAACCGTTAAATGAATTGAAAGCGAGGAATTTGTTTGTTTGTGAATGATCTGTTGTGCGAAACTTATTTGGAATGATGTTAGTTAAAGGAGTCAATTTCGATTATAAGTCATTCTTAAGTCACACCGTCCTTATTTTATGTTTTTTCCAGATGGGGTTGTGAAAGAATTCATATCTTAGATCATTGGGTTGACTGGTTAAGTAATCAAAAGTAAGAGTATATAAGTATTAAGTTTAGTGATACAGAAAGTTCATTTGTGTTTTTCTTTTTGAAAAGAAAGAAGGAAGAGAATGTTTCTTCGAATAAGCAAGAGGTACTGGCTTTAGCATTTTATAGCGAAAACCGCTTTTTAAAATCAGGTTAGTGCTGTCAATGTAGAGCTTTTCTGATTGACAGTTACTTTCATTATAAGGTAGATGGCTGATGATGGTTCTCTCTTGTTCTTATTTTTTTAGTGAAATAGTTTACTTAGATCTTATGTCTGCTGAGATTAGTATTATTTAGTGAATATTGTTTGACTCTCTGTCTCTGGCTGCTCTAATGTCAGAGTTTTGTTATACCTCATTTACTTTTCACTATCATTGAATACTTTTTGCATTTGATAAGAGCTTATGTCACCTGCAATTAGATTTAAAGCATGTTTTAATCAAAATACTTATTGAACATTATGGTGTGCCTTTTATTTTAACCGAACTGTATTACTTAATGCAGTCTGGTAACATATTTTTGTTTTCCACATGTAGTGTGTGATCAAAAGTTCTTCTCTGAGCTGATGAAGGAAGCATCAGATATAGTAGGATATTTTAGTTCAAGAGTTAAGCATCTCCTTCATCTTCATATTGCAACAGGATTGCAGAGATATGTATTACGATTGAGCCAGTGCTTTAAAAATGATAGCCAAGCCCTTGCTCAAGAAGGGAGGATTCTGTTTGAGTACATTGCAATGAATGCCATTGCAATGAGGAAGATACTTAAGAAATATGATAAAGTATATATCAGCTGAGCCAAATACCGCTTAATATCACCCCTTTTCATTTTTTCTTCTATGCTTTAGTGTTATTGTGTTCATTCCTGCCTTTTCTATTCTACTACAGGTACACAGCTCTACGAATGGGGAGAATTTCAAATCTAGGATGCATGCCGAGCACATTGAACTTTTGCACTCACCTTGGCTAATTGAATTGGGTGCTTTTTATCTGAATTCTAGTGGACTTAATGATTGTGAAATTGATGGAGTCTATGGTCACTTTTTGTGTGACTTAAACATAAATAAAGCTGCAATGACATTAATTCTTCCCGATTCTATTAAGCTTGAGTATGATCTAACTTGTGCAATTTGCCTGGTAAGATTCTATTGTATGCTGTACAAGATAGATATTTTACATGTATATCTGTATCTCTTATAAAGGCTTGGGCTGTGATATGATAGGATTTTGTTTTTAATCCATATGCTTTGGGTTGTGGTCATATCTTCTGCAAGTCATGTGCTTGCTCAGCCGCCTCTGTGATGATTTTCCAAGGCCTTAAAGCTGCAAGTCCGGAATCGAAGTGCCCTATATGCAGAGAGGTATGCATTTTGCAGTATTGAATATTTTGATATATCAAAGAAAGAAATAAAACCCTTGACGCTGCCCTTGTTAGACAATCAAAATTATGAAAAAAAGTATTAGTAAAATAATGTCAGATATAAGTCACTATTGCAGTTATGCAATTCAACAGAGGTGGGTTTGGCCAAGGTCGTTGACTGGCCTATTTTAAGGATCCTGTTTTCACTATCTAGATCACTCTCGTTAATTGGTTTGCAAACTCTTAATTATCTTTTTACAAAAACCAAATCTCCATAAGATTATTAGAGGCATTGTAAACTATCTTCAATAGCATTGATCTAGCAAATTACATTTGTTGTCTTCTCAAAACTTTTGATTTTTCCATTTTGCTCGTATGCACAAAAGTATGGCTGCCTTATGACTAAAGTATAGTGATTATGTCATTCATCTTATTCCCTGGACTTTTAAAGAATATTCTGATTTGCTTTTGTATTTTTAATTAGAAAAACTTTCTTTTATAGAAGATAAATACTCCATTTCTTCCTGCAGGTTGGAGTTTATTCTAAGGCGGTGCACATGTTAGAACTTGATCTGCTTATGAAAAGAAGGTATTACATGCATGGTACATGACAATTTTATATTTATTTTTCTTATCTGAACCAATGCCATTGCATTAATTTTCAACGTTTTCCAGGTGCAGAGAATACTGGAAAGATAGGCTAGCTGGTGAACGAGTTGATACGTTGAAGCAATCCAAGGAATACTGGAATTTACAGTCCACATATGCAGTTGGATTGCTGTAGGTTTTTATACTTTGACCATCGAAACATCCAAGTCGTACGGTTAACTAATAGAACTCCCAGGAAGTATTTTACTTGATTATGAGTTCGTCCTTCGGTCATGACTGAACTGCTGTAGATGAAGTGGGATTTAATTAGTTCTTAATACCTTAGGATTAAATAATAAATAAAAACTAGAACTTTGGAAAGCTGCATCTTCAGCTGTCTTTGTTCGAAAATTCTAGGCAGAGATGGTGATAGTCTGCTTGATTGCCAAATTTTTTATGTTAAAGGAAGTTAACAAATAATTGTTTTTCTTGTTAAATTTAAACTTGAAATTTTATGTGAATATTTCTCATAGAAATAAAGAGAGATTATCAATATTTGGATTAGTTTAATTTGTTTATAAATTTATAGTGAGACTGTGAGAAAAACGTTTACCCTTAATATTTAAAGGAATGCAAACTTGCTTATAATAGTTAGTATGTGTGTATCAGAATGTCGTCATGCTACAGAGGTTTGTGTGTGTTCATCTGTATGGGTAATATTTGTCAATGAAATAAAGTATTAGTTTAAATATGTTACTGGTCTCTATGCTTTTCCTAATTTTGATGTACTTTAATTAAGGTTGAAGTTTTCATCCTTCTTGTCACCTCCATTTGTAACAGCACCAACTTTGGGCGCTTATGTGACAGTACATGTGGCATGCTGACATGTCCTTGACAATCCATGTTTATTCCATTTTTTATTATGTTTGATAAAGATGGTTTGTAGTTGGATTAGGAGTTTGGTGAGCTTGTTTGTTTGTTTATTTTTCAAAAAAAATATTGGGCCTCAGAGAGTCCCTTTACATTTTATTACTTAAAAGTCCAATATCTGTTAAAAAAAAATTGATCAAATCTGATACAGCAATGCAATGGAACCAAAGATAAAATCTTCGTTAGTGCATTTACCAAATAAGCATCTTAAAAGTGGAAATTGATTAGTTCTAGATCACACGGGAGATAGACTCGCATAAGCAAAAACAATCTCTCTAGAGTCTAGCCCTTCCCACAAACACAAAAAGAAGGGGGAAAAAAAAGTCTTATCTACTTAATCAATCTAACCCTCGATTAACCTAGCCATTCAATACCTGAATAGAGGACGAGCAAAAAAATAAGAACTTGATATAGAGAGGGGAGACACGCCAATGGGTCAAAGAAGAATGGAGTTCCTAGTTTAGTGTTGCAACTAGCGGTCACAACAGTACAATAAAAATGTTTTTAAAAAAAATTAGTAGAGTTATTATCAAGGTTTATCTAAGAAAATATTGAAAAAATTTAAAATTTTGATCTTTAAAACTAAAAATAGATTAGGGAGTCATTTATGCATGTAAGGAAGGTGTTAGTACTTTACTACGTCTGTTTAAATTAATTGTGCAAATTTATTATAATTTTAAAAAATATTTATTTAACCCGTAAAAAAATAAATGTTGCTATTTTTATTTTTAAAGAAAAAAGATTTATTTACTAAAAATATTAAATTATATCTTAAAAAGAAAAAAAATATTTTTTAAAAATTATTTTGACTCGACAGATATTATTCTGCTCCTACGTATTCCTAGGTGCAATAGAAAACTCAAAGTCATGTAATTCTATAAAAATGATAGAATTATTTTATTAATTCATAAGATTTTAAAAGAACTTGTTTGGAAATTTGTCATATTTTCATAGAGAAATAAAATAAAAATTGTTTAGTTTTTTGAGGAGACAAGATAGCGCAACTATATACATATTATCCCATGACGAACAATATGAAAGGTGAAAGAAGATCACATATACATGTAGTAAGTTATTGTAAAAGTATAATAATTAATACCAAATATTTTAATTTAAAACAAATTATTTTTAATATATAATTTAATTCAAAAACTTTAATATTGAAGAAATGTAAGGTAGCGTAAGTTATACATAAATATCTCATTATTTATCCGTGAACTAAAGACAATGTAAATCACACATCTATGTTGTAGAATATTTTATTAAAATTTAGTAAAAATATTTTCTTAAAGTTAGAAACATAATTTAAATTTTTTTAAATATGAAATTAATTTTATTAAATAAAAAAATGTTTAAAAAGCACAAATTAATATATTTAAATTAATTAGTAACGATAGACGTTTATTTGAGATAAATTAAAATATATTTTTAACAAGTTTGTATTGCGTGAGACCAAGATAATGTTGTTATACAAAAATCTCAACGATTTAAAACTTACAAAAATAGAGACGTTACACGATGACGTTACAAACCGCTAAATTAAATTAGTTAATAAATTATTTTCTTAATTGTTTATTGATTAAAGGTAAAAAAAAATTAATAAAATATATTTAGATTAATTAATTTATAAATTACTATATTAACAAGATTATTATTGTCGTTAACTTAATTAATAAATTGATCATTTGCTGATTAAAATAAAATATTTGAAAAGATATAGTTTAGAAAGATAAAATAGTTAGTAAAATATTATTTAACTTAACAAATTTACATTGCATAAAATCAACAATAACGTAGGTACACATCGACTTTAATGATTTATAATGCATAAAGATAGAGATGTTACACGTTAACATCATAGATCATTGCATTAATTATATAATTTAATTTTGATTTTATAAAGATATGACATATTTTGATTAACTAATAAAGTGAGATAAACAAAAGAAAAAAAATACTTCAATTGATTAACATATAATATAATTAAACAGGAATGCAAATTGTTTCTTTTTATAATAAATTTTTATATTATTTGATAATATGAATAAGAAAGATTTTCATACATATACTAAGTTAAATAAATATGTAATTTATTAATTTTAGAAGTTAGATTTTATTATATTTTTTAAAGTACATTAATAGTGTGTACGACATAAGATAACATAAGTATACATATATCTCGACAATCGATAGCACATAAAGATAGTGTTAGTAATTACTGCATTAATAAAGTAATTTTAATTTAATTAATTAAAAAATAATGATATTTAAATAGACAAAATATTTTACATTAATTAATAAAATAATTATCTAGTTCATTAGAGTTAAAACATGATAAATTTATATTGTGAGAGACCAATGATAAAGTAGGTACACACAGGTTTTGCTAATTTATAACATAGAATGATAAAAAAATTATATGTTAATGTTATAAATTAATGTAAATATTTTATTGTTCATTTACTATTTTTGCTGAAATTGAAAGAAAATAATAAAAAAATATCAAATTATATTCATGTTATGCAATAATAAAATAATAACAAAGATGATAGTGCCAACAAGTACAAATAAACTGAATAATGAAACATGAATATTATATTAAAAGCATATTCAAATAATATATTATTATTTACTAAAAAAATGTATAAATTTTATGACTATTCACTAAAATTAAAAAAGGAAAAGGGATAATTTACATTTTAAAAGGTGAATATTGAATTTTAAATTTGAGATAAGAAGATTTATTAAGAGAAAATATTTTTTACTTTTTATTTATATTTTATATTTGTGTTATTGTTCTAGTCTTATTAAAAATTAAGTTGATTTTTCAATTCTAATTAATTTTTCCTATATATATATTAACGAGATATTGTTTGTATGCTATGGGGTCAAGCTTCGCTACAATAAAACAAAAGGAAGGATTTGAAAAGTAGCCATGAGATTATAGAGTCTTCTTTCGTTCACCAGTTGCAATAAAGATGGGAAAAAAAGTTGAAAAAGAGAAAAACGAAATAAAGAAATAGTAACTATGCAAAAAAAACAGAAACTCACATCTTTGAAAGACACAAACATATTATTCACGAACATTAAGAAGTATCTATGGTGTAGATCTTTAAAGAAAGAAAAGCAAAAGGATAGAGAGAAGAGAGGTTAAGCGAAGAGACGATGAAGGTGAAAATTAACGGATTTAGTTTTAAAGATAAATATATCTTTCAAGATCTCGGATTCGCGGACAAATGAGAGAAGATGAGGAATGTAAAGTACAAGTAATTTTTCTCAACTAATTGATATTTTATTTTCTTGCATTATATTTGAAAATAGAACAGCTATATTAAATGTTAATGATGAGATTTTTCAAGCATTATGAGTTTGAAAGTAAATATAAATTTAAAGATAAAAAACAATGACCTACTATACATAAAGTGATGCCAACAAACTATAACATTAAAATGAATTACTTGATTGTGAGTTTGCTTTCAAACTTTAGTTGAGTTCCTGCTTTTTTGCTACTCTCTTATTCTCTTACAGACCCTTTTCTCCCCCTTTCTCTAGTTTTTATTTTTGCTCTTCAATCTTTGCTTCGTCCTCTTTTTATTTCTCTGTTCTTCCTCTTATTTCTCTTTTTTTTCTTTTTCAGTTCTTTACTCTATTTTTTAATGCTTTATGCATTTATTAATTTTTTTTTTTTTACTTATGATCCATCCTCTTTCACCTCACTCCATTCACGGTATTATTCTTTTGTGTAATTATAGATATTTTTCTTTTGTTTAACTTCAATTCTGCCTAAATGTTTGCAGGTGGCATAACTTGCTTATTCATCCTTTTACATAGCCTACTTTTCTTTTTTCATTATTTAATTGTAATAAAGAAAAAAATGTGTATTCACATTTAGTATTGAAACTTATTTAAGCATCAGAGTACTTTTGGATCCATGTTTGGATTGGAGGCTACAACATTAACGAAAAGGAAAATAGTATTAAGAACATAATTATCTACCATACATCCAATATGGATATTATTTCAATATAAACTTTTGGACTCAACAATTAGTGCATGTTTAAAAGCAATCGTTTATGAAGGATAATTATTTATTTTTCAAAAGCTCTTTTAAAAAGTTCTCAAAAAATAAGTATTTTTTTAGAATTATTGAACTAAAAACTTCTTTATATTCTAGTTGATGATTAGATATGTTAAAATATATTTAATTTTTTAAAATAATTTCTACCTTATAAATTAAGAAGATATTTTATATTTTTTTACATTAAAAACAATTATTATAGAGTTAGTAATTTATTTAAAAATGACATAAATATTATTTAATCTTTAAGATATAAAAAAATTATCATCGTCAATTTAAAAGAATATACAACATTTTGTCTTATAAGCAACATAACAAACACTTTTTTTTACTAGTTTAAATAATCAAACTTTGTATGCAAATTAAATTTTAAAAAATGTATCAATTCTAATTTAATTTAACTAAAAAAAGGTTTTTTTTTTAACTTGCAGTGAATTATGTTAGCTTATTAATAATATTATTAAATTTTTTATTCGTTAATCAATGTCATTGAAATACTATTATATCTGTATTTTTTTTAATGATTATTTGGACCTTATTCACAAAAAAAAGAACTTTAAATCTGCATATTAAAAAATAATAATATTTGTTTTGAACTTCATTAAATTATAAATGTACTAAGTATCACATATTAATATAGAATGTATAAGAGCACGATAATGTTAATTTTATATTCTATTTGTAATGTTACCAGTCTTAAAAATTTTTTCGCATATCCAATAAGTGTATAAAGCATTTTAAAAGAAAAACAAAGATAAAGGTATAATGAAATTTTCCAATGGGTCAATGTAAAATTGTATGCTTAAACCACAATGTTATTAAGGATGACGAGAAAGCATAACGGTGAATCACTGCCACCGCAAAGAAGGGGTGGTGTCAGGGTTTTATCAAGAATATATTTAAAATAAATGTTACATTTTTTTATATAAACGATGTTAATAATCAAAATAGGTAATGCAAATAATATCTTTAATTTATAAAAGCATGTAAATAAAGAAAAAAAATCATCTTCTACCTATCATACCCAAACTTATTGAAAAGTCAGAGCAATTATTTTAGTTTAATTTGTGCTCTTAAGTTTGAATTTTAACAGTGGAATATTTAAAGAATATAATTTTTCTTGTAAAATATACATGTGATTTAGATAAAATAAATAAATATATTAGAGCGAGCATGCTTTACTTTGATTGATACTGCAAATGTTCATCTTAAAGCTGAATCACTTCAATTACCCCTTCTTTTTGTTAACAGTATGTCTAATTTCTCGAGATGGTTCTCTCGATTACGTTCTTCGTGCAACTACTTCTGCTACCGCACTCTCCACACAACAAGGAAGCCATGGTCAAGCTCTGTGCTCCCTCTCGCACTCGCTCTTTCTGCGGGTTCACTCGCACTTCAACCTCACCTCAATCCTTCCTTCTGCGATGCTCCTGATAGGTTCTCTCTCTTCCTCGTTTTGTCCCCATTCCATCCCGTTCTTTTTTTATTCGATTCGTCATTTCTTTGATTGAGAAGATAACTGTAATCAATATATATTACTAGCAACTTGTAAGCATAAGCTGACTCTCATACTTCCATACAGCGTGTAAATGTAGTATCTTCTGAATTCTGATAGATAGAAGAGCATTTATGTTTTTAAAGACTCGTTAGTTATGAGAAAAAGCTTAATATTTCACTTGATAATGACATGCGGTTCCTTATAATGGATGTTAGAGATGTGAGCTTTTGGGGCAAAGGTAGCACTCATTACGTTGTTAAGGGATCACAGAAAGGAGTTCCACGGGAGCTTCTTGAGGAGTTGAAGATCGTCTGTCAGGTACAAAATCAAGGAAAGAAAGACATGGAGGGGCTTGTTCTTATGTTGTTATTTCTTTAGTTCTTACTATTTCTTGTTTTCAACTTATCATTGGATTTGTTAACTTTAGTATGTGTTTTTTTGAGAGCAGGCCAATCTCATTCATTGGTTTGCTTGATCTTCACAAATACTTTTAAGTATGATTAGAATGAAGGGATACTAAGTTAGCAGTTGTTTTGGGCCTTCAACCTGAATAGTTATAATACTTTATTACTACAGGATAACATATCTCTTGATTACGACGAGAGATATTTCCATGGAAAACCACAGAACAGCTTTCACAAGGCTGTCAATATCCCAGATGTGATTGTTTATCCAAGGCAAGACATACTCTGAAACTTTGGCTGAAATTTCTGTTTACTTCCTCATTCATCTGCTCATAGTTCTTACAATGTTGCAGTAATTATGTGTTATCCTTTTAAATTTTAACTTCATTACAAATTGGTACAGAAAGACCTGGGAAGTTTTAAGTGTTTTTCCAAATAATAGTAGTTTGAAAGACTTAAATATGCTGTTGCCTCGTTCCATTATAATTTTCAAAATGTGACTATTGAAAATACTTGGCACTAAGCTATGTGGAAAATGGGTGTGGGCACCGGTTGGTTTTGGAGCTAAAAACTCAGGACCAAAGCTAACTAGAGACACTGTAGAAAGAGCTGTCTCCGACTGCCTGACTCATTGGAAAAGGCCGGTGACAGGTTGGACTGATGATGGTTTATTCGGGTGGATGGGTTTAGGTAGGTTATGTATCGTTGGTGAACTACCTCTCTATTTGTACCTTACCTAACAAGTATTTCTTTGATTGGCCTGAATGTTGTTTGAAAATAGACATACATGATATAATGTGGTTGATTTCTTTGTTAAAATATTTTTCTAGATAACACTGGTCAATCTGTATATTTGCTGCAGATCAATAAATTGATTCATCTCCATCAGGTTTCTTATTCCTGCAGAACTACATACATTCATATTGCTATATGTTTATTGTTTTTGTTCCCACATGCTTTCATATCTAGTATCCCATTTTATTGAGAAGAGATCCAACGACATCTGTTATGCATTGGAATATCCAAAGTCTGAATCATGCTAGGTCAGAAATTACATGACCTTTTGATGTGATATACCATTCACGCCCACCTTGTCTGTCATTTTTTACTAAAAGATATATCAAAAAATCACTTTCATACTTTTTTGTCTAGTACCTCGAATGGACATGAATGAGCTCTGGAAAGGAGGGGTTTTTAAAACATTGCAGAAATATCTTTCAGTAGAAGTAAAAACATATATATTTATTATCTTGCTTTGTCCTCTTATTTACAGATCTGAAGAGGAGGTCTCCAAGATTGTTGAACTATGTAACAATCATAAGGTTTGAGTTCCATCTACTCAACTAACATTGTTTAGCATTTTCAACCTGATTGCTTTACTTTTCTTAACATATTTCTATAAAACCATTTGGATCAGACCAAATCTATATCCTTCATTTATGTCTTGTCATCTGGCATTATTTATCACAATATTTGTGTTGGATTTTCTCCCTTTTTAAAAACTTTATTTGTGCCATTCCTTTCTTACTTGAATTGTTTTGTTTTTGGAATTTATACCTCTTATCATCTGTAACAAAAATAATCCAATCTGCTTACTTTGTCTAATCCTCAACTGAGACTTTATTCCTTTCACACTATTTTTATAAGCCCTTTAACCGCTAATTCAATTATCAATTTACATATGTATCTTTGTTGCAATCATAGATCTAATTTATTGTTTTGTTATAGCCCAGAAATCCTAAAGCATGATGGGCCATAACTCATAAGAACAGATTTAGCGAATCATGAGTGTCAAAAGTATAATTTCTTGATTTTAGCCATCAATTATTAATGAAGATGGTCCTTTCTGATTTAACTTTAGTTGACCTTTGAGTATTGACATGCACAATGTTCATACTTCATTCAACATTTACTTTTGGTTAACTTCAAAACATCCGTAAATAGCCTAAACCAAGGCCTAAAGGGTTGATCCTTTTCAATTGTGTTATGCTAACATGGTCCTGAATCTTATGATGTAAACGGGAGGATAAGCCTGTTTCATCCCCTCCTTAAATTTTGTGTTTCATCTAGTAGTTTCCAGTACTTCCTTTAGTACGAAGTTATTTTTTTTGTTTGAGCTTATCTAGATTATAAGATCTAAAATCCATGCCTGGACCCTTCCTTAACAATTTAAATTTTTGAATCAAGCAGTTTTTGGCATGTTATCATAGACCTAGTGTCTTTTGTGCAGAGTTTAATCTTTGTGACTCCTACTCTTTATACATATTTTTGGCTTAACATGGTGTATTTGTGCTTGTAATACTTTAAGTGCTACATATTTTGTGTGTGTAAATGTTAAGAGTTACCATTTACTGGTTCTCACTTGACAGATTAAGCATTTTGTTGAAGTTATTTTTTGAAACCTATTATTTCCTAAAAGAACCTTCATTTCTGCTTTCCCTTCAAGTTTTAACAGGTTAGAAAAGGTAAAAAATGGTTATGATTTTCATTTTTTTTTATGTCTAACTCCCTTCTTGACTTGGTTTATGAACTAACCTATCAGAAATTTACTTGGAATAAAACTATGATTCTTAAATGTGTGTTTATCCTATTTATACAATTGTGATTTATTGCATAATTCTTGATTTTACAGTATTATAATTCCAATCTGCTTTACATATACATTTAGGGGAAATTATATATATTATGACTAAGTTTTTTAAAAATCCATAGTTTTCCTTCATTTTCATGGGTTTAAAATATTAATAATGATTGTATTCTTGAGAAACTATTGGCTGTAGTTTACTGTTTTTAATGTTAATAACAATTGCAACAGGTTCCTATTGTACCTTATGGCGGAGCTACATCAATTGAGGGTCACACCTTATCCCCTCATGGAGGGGTTTGCATTGACATGTCATTAATGAAAGTATGTATATGTTCTATTTTAATAGTGGAATATCTGCTTATAATTGTTTCTAGTTGGACCATTATGATTACAAAAAAATTATATTTGATTCTAATGGAATAAGTTGTAAGGCCTGTTGGGCACCATTTCTATTCTAGAGTTGTTGAACATACCTGTCCTGATGTGTTCCTGAATAAATTAGAAAAATTGAGTTGTCTTTTGTTGTAATTGAGCATGTTTCTGATACTAAAATATAAGAATTTTCACTACCACAGTCCTTAAGGCAAGAAAATATAAAAGTGAAAACATAAAAAAGATGAGTTTCTTTTGGGAAGTGCTTTATCATACACACCTGTGGTGTTGTCTTCAGTTTGCTAATTGGGGAGCAATTATGGTACACATGCCTGTATTTAGTTCCAACAAGTTTATTTTCTTCTTTGAAATAAATTTTGGGAGTTGTACTGAATTATTCAGTAAGATGTATCATTAATTTGTTTTGCTTACAGACTGGCATGAATTCAATCCTTGTGAATTAAATATCTTATCTTTTTATCTTCCAGAGCTAATTGAATTTGTAGTATTAATTGCGTTAGGGTCAGCAACTACGTTTCTTGATGATTAATTAAGTTTCAATTCATCTACATTAGAATAATCTTGCTTATTATCTACCACCATCACATTACATTTGCTCAGATGCATTTAAAAATGTAGACTATATAAAAAGTGAAGTTTGCTTTCGCTGTTATTTACTTACATTCTATACTGGTACAATCTACAGAGAGTGAAAGCATTACATGTTGAGGACATGGATGTTGTTGTTGAGCCTGGAATTGGATGGATGGAGCTTAATGAATATTTGGAACCTTATGGCCTATTTTTTCCGCTTGATCCAGGTTAGTTGAATTATCCTGGAAATATCTCTGATTGGTGAAGAACAAAAAAGTAATAAAAATCTAGAAGAAAGTACTAATTGTAAGTTAAATTTATACTTGTAAAAATCAGGTCCTGGAGCAAGCATTGGAGGCATGTGTGCTACACGCTGCTCTGGTTCGTTAGCTGTGAGGTAGTCACTCTTCTGTTATAAATGTATTTTTATTCACTGCTGGCAAACACTGTTGCATGCTAGTTCAAATGTTTCATCTGTGTGTCAAACTGTCTGCTTAGAAGGTTAAATATTTGGTTTGAAGGTATTTTGCTTGAGGTGTATTGGTTAGGATTACTAAAGTAGATGTAATTCTAATTTCTATCACTTAAAATGCAGGATCTTGTAAAAAAAAATTTTAGAAACAACTGAAACTGTTCCATCCTACTAAGCATAAAAGTTCCCGTTAATAATTTGTAGGTACGGAACTATGCGCGACAATGTCATCAGTCTCAAGGTTTGTTTATCCCTAATTTTTGGTTTCTAATGGAGTGATGATGTATTTACTGCGTTATTTGTATTCCAGGTGGTTCTTGCCAATGGAGATATTGTGAAGACTGCATCTCGTGCTAGGAAGAGTGCTGCAGGGTTTGATATATTCCTATCCGTTTGTCTATTAATTAATTTCCCCTTCTGCAAGCTTTTCGACAGTTCAGGCAAAAGGAATAAAAGTAAATTGTGAAGGGAAAAAAATATGATAAACTCTATCCACAATTCAATGAAATACCTGAAACACTTCTCTATGACATTCATCTAACTTGGATATCATGTTTGACATCATTTACTCTTTCTCCTATTAGATTCAATCATAAAACCAATTGGCATTAAGTGAAGTTTCCCATAGAGATCCCTTCTACAAAGGAAACAATGGACATGGCTATAGGTTTTGATACTATGTTAGATTTTATCTCACAACCAATTAACACTAAATGAAGCTGCTCAACGAGTATATAAACTGCACCTTAGTAATTGATACAGGCAATGTGGGACTTTCCAACACATCCATCTTTTAAGATGAGATGTATTCAAACTTTCAGTTTTGGGTACCTCTCATCCCCAATTCTTCATATTATCCACTCTCCCTTGCTGACTGAAAATAAAATCACTACTTTTGTGTTTGATCTCTAAATTGAAATCCCTTGGTCTCCGAAGTGTTTCCATGTGACTCCAACTTAGCACCCATCCTCCAAAATTACATCATGAGCAAAAAATCATGTACCAAGACACTTTATCTCAAAATATGCTTAGTAAGTTTATCCATTAGGAAAGAGAAAAGGTATGTTTAATATCAAACCTGGACATAAGCCTAGTATATGCTGGGTCACTCGGATGCTGCACAACTCCTTTACGTTTCACTGCAAAATCCTCCTAAAAATTTTTATAGGATTAGGAAATAGGAATGGATATGCTGTGACAGGCTACTGATTTTTTTCTTTAAAATATATATTCTAGGTATGATCTGACCCGCTTAATGATCGGAAGTGAAGGGACACTTGGTGTCATAACTGAAGTAACACTGCGGCTTCAGAAAATTCCCCAGTATTCAGTGGTACATTGATTAGATTTATTCTTTTTGCAAGTTTGATCTGATGCAATGAATTTTGTTATTGCAATCAATTTACTAAATCTATATGTCATATTATCTTATTTAATTTGATTAAAATTTATAAAAATGTTTCTTCTTGTTTCTGATCTTTGACATGAGCAATGCAAGCTGCATCATCCAAATTAGATAGCAAGGTCACTCGTTTCTGGTTTCTATCCTGTAAAATTTTAATTTATAAGCAGCTGTTCATCATAATTCATAAGTAACACAGCTTTCAATATTTAGACGTCACTTCTTTGTGTTTTTTTCACTCTAGGGATATCTTAAAATTGCTCTGTTCCTTTACTGTCTGTGTTACAATGCTTGTTCCTCCTGTCAGTTTTCATGTCATCTGCAAATCACATGGGTAGTCTCCAGCTGGGAAAAGTACATTATATCCATCCTTCACATGAAGATGTATACAACTATTTATTTAGAAGTTTAATTTATTCATCCTGTTGTTATGCTAAATTAAAATATGGAAGTTTCTATCAGGTGATTTTCCATATTGTTTTGATTGTATTGGAAATCGTAGCAGTTGATCCTTTGTGTGGTATTCTTTAGAAGGTGCATTGGAGGGAGGGGAGGGGGGGAGGGTTATATCTTCTTGACAACTTATGGAGATCGTTTATTCTGCAAGAATACATTCTTAGCTATTGCTATAAGTATGTTTGAATATATGAAATAAACTCATAGCATCAATAGTATATCTTAGAATTTAAAAAGAGTATCTCAAAGATTATCTTTTTGAATTACTTTCCCTATTTCCTTGGTCTTCATATTTCCTTATATTTTACAATTCCTTTCCTTATTTAGTTAGGATTATTAGTACAACTCAGGATTAGTTCTTTAAGTTTTATATAACTGTAATACACACAATACTTAAGATAATATTAAGCAAAGTGTTGTCCCAGTACCCTACCTCAATTCCTAAAGCTTATAATTTCAATGATGTGTATAGTGTGAGTTATTTGGAATCATATGGATTGCTTGACTAATCAAAGCATACAGGTTGCAATGTGCAATTTCCCTTCTGTGAAGGATGCAGCAAATGTTGCTATTGCCACCATGATGTCTGGTATACAGGTAGGACTCTGGCTTTGAATATTCTTTCTCAATCCGATTACAAATTTCTTTGTATGTGGGTTAGGTGTCAAGGGTAGAGCTATTGGATGAAGTTCAAGTGAAAGCTATCAATATTGCTAATGGGAAGAATTTGCCTGAATGTCCAACTTTAATGTTTGAATTTATAGGAACAGGTTGGTCCTTCCATATTGTGTTCTCCAAGTCTGATTTTTTTAAACTTTCACTTAGCATAAAATATAGGCAAATTATAATTTCGATTTCTAACTTTTAACTTCTGAGGATTTTATGGCTTTGGATTGTCCCATCACAATGGTTTTTGTTATGTAGTTCCCTCTGGGTTTGTATCTGGTAACAAGTCACATACCTGGAAGGATTTAGTGTCAAGGACAAAATGTGTATCGTGCACAGAGAATGAGGAAAAGAAAGCAAATCTCTTTGGATGATTTAATTTAGTAGCTTTGTGATAGACTAAGAGAAAAACTAAACAAGTGTATATGAAATAGGCTACCTGCAGTATTCACGTTAATAATAAATAATACTGTTTTCTTTTTTAGTGAATGCTCCTTGCTTCATAAGTGTAATACCTGACTTAATGATATATATATATATATATATATATATATATATATATATATATATATTAATCAGAGGCTTATGCACGTGAACAAACGCAAATTGTTCGGAAACTTGTTTCTAGGCACAATGGCTCAGATTTTGTATTTGCTGAAGAACCTGAAGCGAAAAAAGAACTTTGGAAGGTAGTAGTTTATTCCTTTATTATGTCTAGTTTTATGTGCATATAATGGTTTTTTGTTGATATTCTCTTCATTCTCAAAGAGACATTTATCCACCGTTAACAAAATTAGGTTTCTGTATGGCATGTTTCTAAGTGACCTGTTGCCAACTCGATCTGTAGTTTTCAATCGGTTAGCAATGGGACATGTTATAAATGATCGCATTATTAAATAGTCAGTATTACTATTTACGCATTTAGTTCAATATCTTGTTTGTGTGCAGATAAGGAAGGAGGCACTTTGGGCGTGCTTTGCAATGGAGCCTAATCTGGAGGCAATGATATCGGTAAGTTAGTTATAAAATATTATTTATTTTAATTTTGATTTCTACGTTGTCAAATACATGGTTAGTTGATAGGAAACAACTTAAGATTTCATCTAATTCTTGAAGAAAATGCATTTTAGTCTGATTTAATTTAAGATATCCATATTAATATATATTTAAGAGTGCACGTGCTTGTTGTAGATGAGGATATTGAATGAGAAGAATTTTGTACTTCTAACTCCTGCAGGACGTTTGTGTTCCTTTATCTCACCTTGCCAATTTAATTTCAAGATCTAAAAAGGAGCTGGATGCATCACCACTAGTTTGGTTTGTCTGATCTGGGTTATCTAATTTCATGGTCAACTGATTTAGATTTGATTTGTTATAATTCATGTTACTTGATGATGATGGATGATTGAACATACTGATGCTCGATGCATGTGACTATTGTTGTTTCTCTTGTCAGCACAGTAATTGCACATGCTGGTGATGGTAATTTCCACACGGTTATACTATTTGATCCTACTCAAGAAGAGCAGCGGCGGGAGGCAGAGAGACTCAATGAATTTATGGTTCATGCTGCCTTGTCATTGGAAGGTATTAACAGTAATTTGTGGACACATATTGCCTGTTAGTGTAATATTTCAGGTGTTTTTTGGAATGCTGTACTTTTCTTTTCAACATCCTTGATAATATCCGTGTTAAAGCAATTGCAGTTTTGAAATTTGGTTTATGTTGCTTCCAAACAGGAACTTGTACGGGTGAACATGGTGTTGGCACTGGGAAAATGAAGGTAGCGAGCTAGTATCTGCAATTCTTTAATCTTACAAATGATGTTAATTACTCATGAAACTTCCTGATGTTGCATAATCTTAACAAATCTTAAAAAGTATATGGTGTCAATTAGGCTATTAGATTTAGAATGCACAATTAGACGAAATTATTAAAAGAAATCTTTTGATTGATTAAATTTCTGAAAATTTAGTTTTTGATAGAGTTTAATGGTGTTGTATGATCTATGTAGCTAACTTCATCTAATAAGATAAGGTTTAGTTGTTGAATCATGCTTCATGGTTGTTTTAGATGGCATTTTATTTTCAAATGTGCTGTTCGTTATTTTATAACTGTGACTTCAGCTTTAGGGAAATAAAATTCTCACCCCTGGTTGCTTCATCCAGTATCTTGAGGAAGAACTCGGAGAGGAAGCATTGAGGACAATGAAAAAAATAAAAGCAGTGCTAGATCCCAACAATATCATGAATCCAGGAAAGCTCATCCCTCCCCATGTTTGTTTGTAGTGTTACCCTTACTCGACGAGGCAAGCATGCAGTACAGCAGTCGTGGATGAACACGGTTTCCTCAAATTTACAAAATCAACGCGTTGCGCGTTGCTGTTTCCAAAATCCGGCCATATCTATGGAATCCACTTTTTACTGTTATAGGGCATGCTGCTCCCTGTAATTTGTTCGTCAAAATTGAATGCTTAAGGTCATTTCATAGTTTCTGGCTTCTCACGCCTGAGCTAGTCCATATTAGAAACTTAATTATATCCCCTTCTCATTTTTAGAGAGTTTCAAGATATAATGCATTCTCATATATCAGGAATTTTCTTGCAGTCATTATACCCCTTTTCATCAACATAATTTTCATTTTTAACAGACTTAAATATGTTTTCCATATCTGAAAAAATAGTTAATTTTTGGTTCCTTTTTTATTTAATTTTTGATTTTATTTAAATAAATGTTTTTAGTATATAGTGTTATGAGTTCTGGTAAGCTACGACGTGGTAAACTCATCACTTTCAAGTGGCATAACATGCTTATGTACAATAACAGGATCGATTTGACCCTATGGGATCTTTTTGAGTTTAGTTCTATCAGTAGTAGTTATAGCATCACGTTCTTTACTGTCATGTTCAACTAGTAACCTAGTTGTCTTACTTACATGAGCTTCCTCCGACATCCAGCTTCTTGACTCATCAAACACAACATCATTGCTGATTACAACCTGTTTAGACCTTGGATCAAACAATCTGTAACCTCCAGTTGCATGATATCCAAGTAGGATCATCTGTTCACTCTTGTCATCAAGCTTATGTCTTAGCTGATTAAGAATCTGCCTGTAACACAATGAGCCAAAAATTCTGAAGTGACTAACATCTAGCTTGGTACCTAACCAAGTTTCTTCTGGTGTGACTCCTTTCAATCTTTTAGAGGGACATCTATTGAGAATGTACACTGCTGTAGAACCAACTTCACTCCATAAGTTGTGTGGTAGCTTCTTGCATTTCAACATGCTTCTTACTGTATTGATAATGGTTCTGTTCTTTCTTTCAGCAATACCATTATGTTGTGGAGTGTAAGGTGGTGTGTGCTCATGAACAATACCTGCCTCATCACAAAATTCTTGGAATTCTCTTGAGGTGCATTCACCACCTCCATCCGTTTTCAGAGTTTTTATATGATTACCACACTATTTTTCAACATGAGCTTTAAAATTTTTTAAAAAGAAAAGACTTCACTCTTCCTCCCAATCATATAAATTCAGGTCTTTCTGGTCAAATCATTTATGAATGATACAAAATACTTGCTTCCTCCAAGTATAAACACATCTATATTTTATATCTGCTTTCTCAGCAATGGAATTGCTTTCATCCACGACCATCCATGGTCATGAATATTGCTTTCTTCCACGTAGGAAGTTGTTCACTCAACAATACTTTTTGAGCTCCATACCCTCCACACATGGGTGCCACTAGCTCTTTGCTAGGACTCATTTAGTGTCACCGTATCTTTACGCTGCACTTTCACATTGAAATCCATGGATGCCACGCCGTCGACTCTTTTTGATGCAGCTCATCCACTCGTCTGAATAGATCACCTGAATTTACTTAGCTCTGATACCACTGTTGGGTTGGGGGAATATTTAAATAGAGAGCCTTAAAATGAGTAAGACACCACAATACAACTCTAAAACCTTAAAGCAATGGATATATGGATTTATTTCTTTATAGACTCTAACTTACTATTCTATTTAAAACTCAATTCATACTTGATTCTAACAAAAATGATAAGGTAAAATGTGTATTTACTATTAATTGAAATTGAATTCTTCATAAACTTAATTAATTTGAAATTAATAGCGGATTTTCATTTTAGAAAAAAAATAATAGAAACTTTTCTAAGATAAAGTTGCTTACAGCCTTACAGGATAAAATAACAATTGAAGATCTTTTAAATTGTAGTTCTTATACTATTTTATTTTATTTTTTTTACTTATTTGTATTTTTATACTTAAATTTATGTGTATTTTAATTCTTTTAATGTTTAGTTGATTCAATATAGGTTTTTAAAATATTTAAATTAAACTTCTTATTTTTAAATTTTATTTAATAATTAATAAAAATATAATGAAATTGTAACACGTTAAGGAATGATGTACTGGGGTGTTATTTCTGTATAATAAAATGGGCATGTGTTCTCAATTTTCCCGTGGGTGTTGTGTAAGGATGTGGACTGTTTGAGGACATGATTACATAACAATGACGCCAGTTGACACTCATTTCACATGGCTTAGTTAGGTAAGAGTAAGACTGTAAGATGCATCTCCTTTGGCAATTTGACACTCCTATGCTATGACTAATTTGACCATTTTATGAGAATAGGATGTTTAGCATGTAGCACCCTGAGGGGTCCTTTTTAACATCGTCCTTATCATTCTTTTTGAATCGAACTCGGACACATGCTCCTTCCACTTTTCTAAGATTAGATTAGAAATTTAGAGGGTAAGACAAAAACTGCAGGCGCCTCTCTCCCTCTCTTTTTGTTGAAGCTGTGGTGCATGCATGCAATTAAAATACTATTCCTTTTGCGACTCAGAAATAGAAATGGTGCATTGCATATTTGCATTGACCAATTTAATGGTGACCCCTGACACGGGGAGGAGTCTCTTCTCTACTATTCTGTTTGTCTCCTTCTCAGCCCAGAAGGGACATCCACAACCATAAAAAAGAACAGAACATGGACCTCAAACTCACCACAAGACAAAACAAAAATTCGAGTTAGGTTCCAAAATTCAAAGATTCTCTTGAAACTTGCCTTTCCTGTTATATTATATAATCAATTTTGTTAAGATTAGCTTTGAGAGTTAATTTTAAATAATTTAAAGAAAAAATATTTTTCAAATGATACTATTTTTTATATTTTTAATATAATATATTAAAAAAATATATTTATTTAAAATTTATCTTGGATCAATTTTATATATTCAATGTGCCCATCAAGTTGATTTTCAATAGATGTGTAATTATTGTTTTGAAGGTAATTAATATAAAAGTAATGAAAATATTCAGCTAAAAACGTGATATATAATAACAAATTTATTAAATATTATACCTTTGAATCAAATAATAATTTTTAATTTTAATTATTTCCTTTAGCATAATAATCACTAAAATTGTATGAGTTGTGTAATATGGAGTCAAACTAAAACTAAAAAAAAATTGAAGAGTTAATTACTCATAATAGTCAGGTGGTAAGTGATCTAAGAAAGACAGGCACAAAAAGAAACACTAGGTTGAAGAGAAAAAATGTATTTGTGAAAGACTGTAAAATGAAGAGATTATGCATGTGGTATGCCAAATTTTTATCTGACTCCTCTCTCCATTTCCTTTTATCATTCTCTTTTCTGCAGTTTGTTTTTATTGCTGTTATTCTTCTGTCAGATTGCTCGAGTAATTGTGACTAGATTTATTTGAATTGAGATCAATATTTTTTTAATTGATTGTAACTAATATTCATTTATCCATTACTTTTTATACTCATGCATACTTTTTTTTTTTTTTTTTTGTATTGTGATACCATTTATTTTGTTATTCAAAACTTACATGGTTCATTATTGTTATAAATTGCATCCCTCTTTACTCATGTCACAGACACAGACTTAAATTGGGATCCATAATAATAGGTTTCGCATATTAAGAACTTCTTATACGTTGATTTCAAAATTAATTTTAAATTGAAATCAATGTATAAGCTACAAAAAATTAATTTCAAAATCGTGGAGTTGATTTAATTTTATAGTTGAGCCATCTTTTTTTGAAAAAGGAGAATAATAATGGTTAGTAAAATTAATGCTAGAAAACTATTTATACATAATATGATTTTAAAAAAAAAATTAAGTAAAATTTACAAATAAAAAATTAATGAGAATAATTGATATTTTAGAAATTTTATTAAAACAAAATAAAAAATTAAATTACAATAAAAAATATAATTAATTATTTAAACTAAGACATATATTTCTATTGAGAAGGTTTGTCACAATCTGAAAATAAAATTGATTAAGATTATGATAATTGTAAAAATACCTATCAAGACTTAAAATTTAATTTAAAAATGAATTGAATTTGAGTATTTTAAGTAATAGTTGAAAAGAATAAAAAAACTATAAATAAAAAATTAAATACTCAATGCAAGAAAAATCATGTAACTTAAAAATAAAAAAGATAATTCATAAAATTAATTCCATTCAAAACTGAGTTTTACAATATAAATTTAAAGTATATGATAATCAAGACTCAATAATATATAATATTTTCTTTCAGCCTATATCAACTCAGCTCGTTTTAAATCATTAAATTTACTTAATCACAAGAAAAGTTCTATTATCTCTAGACACGTAGATATGAAAAGTAGGTCTTCCCTATAAACGATGATTTAAACGTTTAAATTTTGTCTTATCCAGAGAACAAAAAGTTTGGTGAGCATTACACTCAACTCTGTGAGTGCAAATGATAGAATCTTGATTTGGATGAATCATGGAGCGCCCAAGTTTTGAACAGGCTACCCATTAACCAATGAAAGTGGGTAAATCATTGGATAAAGAGTAAAAGTTTAACATAAAGAAAACTGAAGTTGTAATGGGAACAAAGCTAGTAAAGTTTAACATAAAGAAACTTGCAGTTGAAACATGTCTAAATCATAACAGTATCCGAATCTCAGGACAATTTCTCAGAGAATATTTAATAATGAAAATAAACTGTTTTTATTTGTCCTGTTCCTCATCCATTACTTGGAAAGCTAATCATCATCGCTGGCTTCCAAATGTAATACACACATTTCGTTGCTTCAAAATGGATAATTTAACCATGTGGATAACATGAAGGACAACCAAACCCATTAAGGCAAAGAAATTGGAAAACCATAAACGAAATTAAAGGTCCCAATAACCATTCTTAAATCATAAAAACAATACAGATTAAAACCCTCTTGCTTAACTTTATTATATCATCATTGTATTAAAAGTATCCAAGATAAGATTGTCTGCATTTAGGGAAGTGTTGTTATATCATAAATTTAATTATCTTGTAAACTTAGTTATTTAATAATGTAATTGCATATGATAGATTAAATGTCATTCAATCTTGTGAAATTCATATGTATCGAAAAAATATTGTTAGGACTCTTTGTTTTAATACTTAATCGTATTTTGCAAGATTAGTTTTTCATTTCTTAAGAAAAAACATATTAAATGATAGGATAAGCTTTTATATTTTAAAAATAAATTATAGTTAAACTGAAAAATGTGAAAATGATGACCTAGCACCATTCATTAATGTCATATATTCTAAACAAGTTAAACACACAGTGATTAACAATTATCAAACATGAAAGATAATTTATACTGCCTACGTAACTCATGGGAACACATGCCACTACATGATTAACGCATCAGCTGTGAGTGAGTGAGTGAGTGAGTGAGTGACCTTAAGATTAAATTACTATTTACTAAAATAATGGCTTAGTTCATTATTATATGTACCATCTGCTAGTAGCCAGGATAAGCCATTTTCATGGCTGTTGTTGGCCCGCCACTAGCACTAGTAGTTGTACTACAACCATATAAAATAAAAATAGACCTACATGGATCCAACTCCAAGCACCTAAGCACCAATCACCACCACTCTTAATTGGTTTGTGATGTCTCTGTATTAATTGTTTCGAACCTCACATTTTCCTTTCGTAAAAAAATAATAATTAATAACACAATTTCCTGACAAATTTCACTAATTCAAATGTTTTCTCAACAGAAAATGTCACTGGTCTTATTTTAATTTTATTAAAATATATTTCTTAACTCTTTATTTAGTGTTTTTAAAAATTTAAGTATCATCATATCAATTTTAGAGATCACTCATGTTTATTCAAATTATAATATCTCTTTATAAATTGGACCGTTCTCATTAATTGCAAAAAAATATAAAAAAAATAATTTTTACGGTGGTAGTTTTTAAATTATTAAGAAACAACTTATGTTCTCTTACATTTAAAATAATTATTATTGATTTTATATAAATATAGTAAAGGTTATAATTTATTTAAAAAAACATCAATATCTTTTAATCTTTTAAATATTAGAAAAACTATCATTGTTAATTTTATATATATATATATATATATATATATATATATATATAATGTTGATCAAATTTATGAGTATCGTTAAAAAAAATTCATATATTTATCTTCTTAGATTGTGCAATTTAATAATGAGGTCTTTTATGACATTGAAAAGTAGTACAAATTTAAAAACTATAGATTTAGTTTTAATTGGTTTGTGTATATTTTATTTATCAGGCTATTTAAATAATTTGAGTATAGTTATTATTGTTTATAAATAGAGCTAATCAAGTGAGTCATCCGATTAATTTGAGTTAACCTATGACAAGAAGCAATTTTTAACGAGTTTAAAAAAATTAAAAATAATTTAAACTCTTAAAAAAATAGTACCTAAAATGAGTACAATCTAATAATTGTGGGTTCAGACTGTTAATCATGCCGATTTTGTTGACTTCACATATAAACTCAAAATAAGATAAAAATTTTATTTACTCGTATGAGTTATCAGATTTCAAATATTACTGCAAGATAACTTTCACATAATGAAATGCCTTGGCACCAAATATTGCTGAAGATGGAACGAGAGGAATTTTTTGGTAATAGGCACCCAGGGACTTTGATTACTATTGTTGTGTAATCTAATTACTCTCTCTCTCTCTCTCTCTCTCTCTCTCAAAATCCGGTGACTGGTATAACTTTTTTCTTATGGGGTCCATGAATATGGCTCTGAACAGTGAACAATGCTACCTTTCCTCTTATTGGATAGATATGCGCAGCGTGGCACTTCCCCTTTAGGTTCTTATTCGTGTTGATCACAAGAGGGATATTCGATTGGTCTTTCACAGTTTTCAGTAGTTTTCTGTAGCAGCAAGTTTAAAAATCTGGTAAAAGAAATATGAATGTTAACCTTCAGCAATAAGCAGCTTGAGATCTAACGTAGAAAGTGGCGGCAAAACCATTGTTATCGAATAATCTCCAAGTAAATCTGGTACTTACTTTGGACAGCAATAAGTAATGTTTATTTATATTATATGATGTGTAAAAAGCAAAATCAAATTAGAAAAGTTGTGGTCAACGTCATGCTATATATATCCAATTTGCTTAGCGTGTGAATTATGAACATATAATAATGTCTATCCAAATTCCAAATCACGAGGCACTATCACTGCGATTTATTTATCGTCCCAATCCGAAGATGTTCGAATGATATAACGCGCGAATCCAAATCGTATCTGAACTGTAAAGTAACACACCGGATCAATTTGTACATACTATATGGTCGTTTGTTTTAAAATTAAGTTGAGCCCATGTTACCTTAATTAAGAATTTATTTTAAAATTATTGAACATGTTATTTAAAAGTATTTATTATTTTTTTATTAAATTTAACCTTTATATAGATTACATTTATCAGTCCATTGCCTATTAAAATATATATGTGTGGGTTCGAATTGGATCTAAATTTTAGTCTAACTAGATGGAATAACTTATCTAGATAGCTCTAACTCTCATAATTACATATTATAGATCTTTTAACATAAATAATTCCTTCTTAATTGTTTTAGTGGTTTATGAAATGTTTTTTTCGCATATGAAAATTAATAATAGGGTAATTTTATTTTAAAAAGAGAAACTAATAAAATTTAATATTATTAAAATCTATTAAATTAAATGAAAGAATAAATTGTATTAAATTATAGTGCAATGCACTTAATTTCATAAATAGGTTAAAAATTACAACTAACTTAATAATTTAAGGAATTACAGTGTTCCCTTAATTAGAATAATTTTTTAATTACAAATGAAATGATTAATCTTTTAGCTATAGAACAAGGAGAAAATCATATTTACTTTGCTAAAGTCTAGCCTAATTATATTCAATGTCCCTTCTATGTTAGAGGAGGTTAATATACTTTTAACGACACCCTTTAAAACAGAGGAAGTATAATGATAATTAAACCTTACGACAAGTCAATGCAATTTTACCTTAGTTATTATATTAATAATTATAAATTACATATTTCTTGAAAAGACATATAAATTATATTGTCTATGCAAGAAATTAATATGTCTTATGTTTTAATTTGTTTTATTATGAATAAGTCATATAAAAAGTTCTTTATATTTTTTAACATCAACTAATTAATTTCAAATTCTTAATTTGAAGCATCAGAAGATATGTAAAACAAGGATTTTGAATGGATTTTAAAAACTTATAATAAAAGACTTTAATACTTTATTTCATCTATGTCAACTCTAAGAATTGATACTATTAATTGTTTTTTAGTATTTTTTATTTCTTTAATATAATTTCCTATTAATATCAATAAAAGTATTAAAAACTCTCAATACCGAATACACAAATTGACTGATATAATCATTTCAATCTAATTAATATATTTGAATTCGAATGTCTAAGAATAAAAATATATTAAATATTAAAAGAAAAAATTTACTCATAATTACATCCCATAAAATTACCATAGACAGACAATTTTTTGAATAAATTTGCTCTAATCCATTCACATCAAAACCCTTAAATCCCGGGGTTTACCATATGAAGCCAAGACTTTATATATAGGGTAAAATAGAATGATACGTACATAAAAAAAAAACTTTACTATATAGCCGATTGCATGCTTCATATTCACATATCATATTAATTTACCCTCCAAAACAAACATTCCACAATCACGGGCAGCTCCTCCAATCCAACTATACCTAATTAAGGTCCAGATTTCAGTGACCAATAGCTTGGGATAAATGTGCCACCATATTCAAACATAATTACACAATTACCATCCACAATCCCCACCAATAACAAGCCTACCACCACAACCACAGCCTTGGTCCATCTCTATATATATCCCTCCCTCGCAGTGCTTCATTTCCACTACATAAATACAAGCAATTCACAAACATACTAGAAAAATAATTACAATAATGGGTTCTCTTCCTCATGTAGTAGAGGACTGCTTGGGCTTCCTCCAACTCTATAGTGATGGTTCCATTTTCCGCTCCAACGACATAGAATTCAAAGTTTCAGCCATTGAAGACAACACCGTAACCTTTAAGGATTGCCTCTTCGACAAGAGATTCAACCTCTTTCTTCGTCTCTACAAACCCAAACACTCAACAACCAACAATAGAAACAAGCTTTTCCCCGTGGTGATGTTCCTTCACGGTGGAGGCTTTTGTTTCGGTTCACGCACGTGGCCACATGTTCACAATTGTTGCATGCGCCTCGCTTCGGGGCTACAAGCGGTGGTTGTTGCCCCCGACTACCGCCTCGCACCGGAGCACCGGTTGCCGGCGGCGGTGGACGACGCCGTGGAGGCGGTGAGGTGGCTCCAAAGGCAGGGATTGAGTTTGAAGGAGGATCAAAATGGTGGGGACGGGTGGTTGAATGGTGACGTTGACTTTGACCGTGTATTTATCGTGGGTGACTCATCTGGCGGGAACATTGCGCACCACCTCGCGGTTCGGTTGGGTTCTGGTTCGCGGGAGATGGACCCGGTTCGGATACGAGGTTACGTGTTGTTTGCGCCGTTTTTCGGTGGGGAGGTTCGAACCAAGTCCGAGGAAGGTCCACCAGAGCACATGTTGAACCTTGAGTTATTAGACAGGTGAGGGTAACCCTTTTTTTTGTTTAAACATTAGCTAAATTTTTTCTTCTTTTATTTTTTTAACGTTTAAAATTTTATACTAAAATTAAAAAATGATTTATACTTGAATTTTTATACAATATATCTCTCATGATTTTGACGTAATTAAGTTGGGTAAAAAGCTGCATGGTTAATAATTTTGGCTATTAATATGACGTTAAAAGTTTTTAAAAAAAATCTTCACCCTACGTGAGGTCCGTTAGTAACCTTGTTTATATATATGTGGGGTTAAATTTAGTGAAAATAATTTGTTATTACAAAACAATTACTAATTAACATTTCATTGTAACAACAACAATAATAATTAACAGTTATATATATAGAATAAAACTTACTTTAAATAAAAAAGTTATTAAAAATAGCGTACTACCAAGTTTAATGCATATAAAAATACGAAACACATAAATTTGAGTGATGAATTGATTAACTGGTTTTCTTAAATTCTTCTCTATATAAGTGTATGGATTATTTGAGAACTTTAATTTCATTTATTTAAAAATTATTCATATTTTTAAGGGTTTATTTTGCTCAAACTCGCCCTTTTCACTGCTTGGGTGTGTTATTTCCAACTTGTGCGAAATGGACACCTAAAATAGGAGTAGCATGAGTATGATAGACTACTATTTTAAAAGTGGTATGTAAGTAATTAAATGAATAAATGGTATGAAGTGGTTCCACTTGTGAGTGAATTCGCTCGCATATTTCTTGAATATGCCTATGAATGGACCCACAATTGTTTTCGTTTTGACCTTTATCAGAAAGGGATGTACGATGAATAAGACACACAACGACAATTTTGCCACACTCGTCTTATAATTCTTACCAAGATAAACTTGGTGTGTTTTTTTTAAATTAAATTAAAAAATTTTGAAAAATGTTTTCTTCATATTAATAATTTTAATAAGAAAAATAGTCTAAAACAAGGTCTAAATATGCTGGATGAGAATATTCTCTGTATTATATGTTACAAATGATTTTTTTCTTTTAATAGAACTATGTAATTTACGATAATTTGTCACTTTTTGCTCCATCTTTTATTAGGTTTTAAAAGACAATAGCAGTTTAATTGCTAAAATATTCATACAACCCTGTAACCTTGAATGTTAATTATTACATAAATTTATAACGTAAAATATTATGTAATAATTTATATTTCATCTAAAAATAATTTCACTGAAATTTTCATTTAATAATATTTCTTTTTATTAGATAATTGAGATTATAATAATAAATATTATTATTATAAGCATTTTTAATATCCTAAAAATTTCAATTAACATGTTAAAATAAATATAACAATCTTCTTCATTTAAATTATGTGTATACAGTTAAGAAATACACCAAAATATTATTACAAAAATTAAATTACACAATTATTAAAGTTTAAATATAGGCTTTCAAATATTTTAAATGCATAAACACATTTCAAATTCTTTTTTCTTTTTTTAAAACAAATCTTATATATGAAAGAAAACCTTGGTTATAATACTAGTCTTAATTACTACGTTAGAGATGCTGTTGTTTGAAACGAGCAGAGCTATCCTACATATAATAATGAAACCAACAGAGGTATCCTACATAATCTCACCACTCATTATTATTATTATTAACTGTAATTGTGTGACTAAAGCCGCGTAAATCTGCTATTAGCATAAGATGAAAGCCTGAACTGTTCAAATAACTTTAAATTTTTTAGTTCAACTGTCATAAGTTTCCTACTTACGTGATCAGACTATAGCTTCACTGTTGACTCAAATAAAAGTGTCTTTTATAAATAATATTTGCAGTAATACCCCAAAAAAAGGCAAAATAATATATTTATATATATATATATATATATATATATATATGTACTTATTTATTTATGAAAAAAATATCATAGTCACAAATATTTAATCTCAACAATCCGCACAAATACTTGTCAAAGATTACTAATTACTTTTGAAACGTGTGGAAATCAAAACGGCAATAATGGTTGGAAGGCCAAAATGCACACAAAACTTAAGTGATTAGTGGCGACGCTTCTCTTTATGTCACCTCCTCCTGTCACTGCGCCCGTAGCCATATCAAAAAACTTGTCTGTTTAGTGTCCTTAATTCTGTAAACAAAATTTAATTTTAATATTAAAACAGATATTTAATGTATATACTATTTCTAAATCTCAACAATAATCTATAAGATAATAAGTCATATATACTATTTTTGATTAAAAAATATAATACTTAATAGTATTAATGTATTGAATTATATAATTTTTAATAAAAATTTACTATATATAACTTTTATCATGTAATTTAAATATTTTTAAATAATTTTATCAAATCAATTCTAAAAAAGTTAACGTTTTCCCTCTCAAATGATAATTTATGGAGATCGTATATAAGAAACTTAAATTCATATAAATAAATTTATCAGTAACAGCATAATTTATATTTTTGAAAGAGTTATATTTTTTTCTAATAAAATTTTATAACAATATTTTTTTATATATACATTTTCTATCATATCACCTATGTAATCAACTTCTCTCTCTTTCCTTTCGATCTTTTTTTTAAAAAAATTTATAAAAAAATACACTAAATTTATTATAAAATGATAATTCTCTTAAATAAAAAAATTTGTCAGAACATGAAACGCGTGTACAACATTAACATTAAATAATCTAATTAGTCATCAACACACTTCAGATTTCCATCCCGATATAATTTAAAATCATTTAGAAACTTTTCCACTTTCGGATATGCCTAATCCAATATTAGCAAGATGCAATCTTTTTGTATACATGTTCCGATTCCAAAACATTTGTTTATTCTAAGGCTTATCCAATATTCTTAAAGCCAACTGTTAGATAAATATTCATAAAAAAAAATGTGGGAATGAAATAAAGTACGCAATAAGAAGATTCTGAGAAAAAATACATTAAAAAAATAGATAAACAAATATGCGTTGTAAAATTGTAATAATTTAGTATTCATATTTATAATAAGGATTGATTAAATTAGATCTCTCCTAATATATTTCATCCTGGGATAATCATGCGATTTTTGGGTCTCTCTCTCACAGGCTAATTGTATGAATTTTGCATTTCCAAGCAGATTTTGGAGGCTATCGATGCCTATTGGAGAGAGCAGAGATCACCCATTGGCGAATCCGTTCGGAGCTGGCAGCCCAAATTTTGAACAACTGAAGCTTGACCCTATTTTGGTGATAGTAGGTGGCAATGAATTGCTTAAGGATAGGGCAGCACACTATGCGACAAGGTTAAAAGAACTAAGCAAGGACATTAAATACGTTGAGTTTGAGGGGAACGAACATGGGTTTTTCACTCATGACTCACACTCAGAGATTGCAGAAGATGTCATACAAATCCTTAAACGATTCATGTTTGAAACTTCTAGTTAGAACACACCTCAGAAACAAGTTAGAGAGTAAAGACACTTAAGTAAAGTTAGTTAGTCCATATTTTTATCCTAGAAACTAGAAAAGTAGTTTGTGGGAACGGATTGTGTCAATTTTATTAGTGTGTACGTGTAGTTTTTCATTGGAGATCGTATTTCAAGTGCCTTTCTAAGTAATTTGTGCAATTACCTTTGAATTAATTGTATACGTTATTACTCTTTCCATTTCATATTTTTGTTGTTATTTTATTTTATTTATATATCAACAACTTTATTATTTTAGAAATTTAGGTATCTTTAATTAAAATCATTACATTCAATTTGGATCAATATTTTTTGGCTCATATATTATCACATTCTGAAATGAGAAATTATATATGAGGATGAAATTAATTATTACAAACGTGTTAGACAATGTTAAAACGTAGCTGTGATTCATCCAAATGTGTGCAAGAGAATGAAAAAACACTTTTGAATTCCACTCAATTTATTTTTTTGGTATTATATACCTATATTTTAATTTCCCAACCCCTGCTGTCTGTTCATGAACCTAGGTTAACATGACACCATTTTTCCCGTTTAAGCACAAAGAAAAGATAGAAAGGGGAGGGGGGGAAAAATGGTGGGATCTGCATAGATATTCTCTTGTAAGAAGAAAATGGAGGAAAAGAAAAATGAATTTTCTATTCTCTAATGTATTTTTTTCAATGGATATTCAATTTAACATTATTTCAAAGTTATTTGAATTTACACTTGTATCAGTACTTCATTTGCAGGTTGACGCCATTCATTCCTTATCAAACTTGGGAAATTGATATAGATATTTTGAAGATGAAAAAAAGTGGTGTGATGATAGATCAACGAATGGGAAGCATATAGTGATCAGATTGTGGGAGTGGGAATCCTATGGGTCATTCACATTTTGTTGAGGATCATACAATTTGACAGAGAGATAGAGTGCAAAAAGATGACGAATAACACCAATAACATCAGTTTAATTACTGATTTCTTTTGTGTTCGAAAGTTGTTGACATGCGAAGACATGAATGACTTGCTTTTTATCGAAGTTCCACTTGACACTCAATTATTTTGTCCTTCACCTTTTTAGTGGGTTGGGAATGCATATCAGGGATATAGTTTTATGGTTGCACTTATGGTGGATATATCATTGGATCTTTTCATCACCGCTGGTCCAATAATAATAACTGTTAATATAGTATTTTATTAAACGAACGGATGAAATTGTATCTTAGAAAATATCATTTTAAAATTAAATTGAAGTTTTTATTAAAAAAACAAAAAACAATTACAATGCCAAAAAGACAAACCTTATTGCAGCCACTTGAATCTTGGGTGAAGAATGATTCAAAAAGTACAATAAATTCTGCATTTCTTTAAGATACTATTTTAAAGAATGATATTGTTATTATTACGCAAACATATACACTTATCTTCAAATTTTTCGTTTTGTTACTTTACAATGTTTCAGCTATGTTTGTATTCGTTCTTTCAAGATTTACTAAAAATCATAAAGCCCCCTCCAACTAAGTTCTTAAATGGTATTTGAAATCATATTTAGATTAATTTATCTTAAAGTTAATTTTCTTTCATAGAGTTTTCCAAAAATTTAAACTGAACACACGTTAAATTCCCCCCAATGCAACTAAGTTCCTGAATATATCTTTTTTAATATTTAGATTACTTTACAACAAAATTTGGTTTAATATTTTACAACCTTATGAATTTTAAACTGCAAGGCAATGATCTTTTTTTTCTTAATTCACACTCATTTCAATAATTTAACTCCTATGATATCATTTTCTAAAATTCCATCCCTTCAACTGTAAGTCAACTCTGCAACATGAACTGTATTCCATTTGACTAAAATGTAGCCATAATTGTGAAGACTCTAATTAATACCAAGCATTCGTGATCATGGTTGCGTCAACATCGATCGCAACCTCCACATTCAAACCACCACAATCTTTCAAATTTCAATCACTGTCCACCACCTAGCTAGAATCACACAGCTACCGTGGCATTATAATTTGACCAATAACATATATAGTGTCTATCAAAACTCTTACATAACGCAAGACCACTGTTGCGGCACATCGTACCATCTTCCACCACTATACTTGAGCTACTAACAAAATATACCAACAAAATAGCTCACCATCATCACCTATGACCTACATAAAGATCAGAACAGAAAAGGAAAATAATGAAAGAAGCTCCAACAAAACACAGTATAAAATTAGGAGGGGATGAGAAAGAAATTCAAGTTATAAAATATTTTAAAATGTCATCGCAGATGAATTCAAACACTAAAAATGACTTCTCTGTTATGTATATAATTATAAGAATGTAAAGTTTGTTCACTTTTATATAATAAAATTAATTTTTCCTTGTTACAATCGAGGTCATTTTACGAGTATTTTTTCTTCTTTTATAATACAATTTTTTAACATTGCATATCAGTCAACTTAATATTTTAAATTTTCTTTTAATTTTTTAATCAATGATAATGACTTTTTTATTCTTGTAATCAATATCCAAACTCATTTTTATCAAAATTCAACATGTTGAAATATTTATAAATTATCGTTAAAGCAGTCTTTTGTCAATTAAACTAAGCATCTAAGAATTTTAAAAACAAAATATCTAAATGTCCACAAAGTTTATGATTTAATTATATTTTATCATGAATAAATTATTTTTATTTATTTTTATATTTTAGCTGTATGTATAAAAAAAACACATGCAATCCTTGTAAGTTTTCTAAAGTTATAAATAAGAAACCCTATCGAATGTGCTTTCTTCACTATTTTATGCTTTCAAATATGTTTTCATTTGAAACAAAAATATAAAACAGTGAAACTAAATAAGATCATATATATTTTTTAATCATATAAATGGTAACTATTATAACATGTATATATCCACAAAGAAAAAACAAAAACTATTATACCAAGCATACGTAAAGCTATTGATTGGGACATGAAGCCATAGGTTTTCTTTTAATAAATGTCGTATGAATTTCAGATAATTCATAGTCATAATCACCTTATGTAAAATACTACTCTTGTAAACTCTCGCTGTAAATTGTTGTTCTATATATTTGTAGAAACGTATGGCATATATCTTTTTAAAAGTATTCATCATTTAATTTTCTTAAAATTAACAAAATTATTAATTAATTAAACGCCTTTATTTTTTAATAAATGAAACTATATTAACTATGTTATTGTGCAGTGAAAAAATCAGGAAGGATGAAGAAGACAAACGACACCCACGTGCGTTTGGAAATTTTTTCATTTGCATAATTGCCATACCTTTTTGGGAATAACGTGCTTTCTCTCAACATCAAAATGCTTTTTGCGTGGATTTGGTGGGTCCAAAACGGGTATGGACTTGAATCTAGCTAGTTCATATAAACCCGGATATATACATCCACACAGGTTATCTTTAGATTGATAAATTACATTTATAAAACATTTAACAAATAAATGCGTGAAACAATATATTAAATTTTATTGTTTGAATTATTTAAAAAATAAAATTGGATTGAGATATTTCTCTTTAATTTAAAATAGGAGATTAATTCCTTTTTCATTTCATAATAAAGGTGTTTAAGTAAAAAACTTGTAATTTTATTCTATTTAATTTCGCTATGATATTTTTATTTGACTCTTCTTTAATAACCGATTATAGCCACTAATTACTAAATTAAACATCACTCTATCTTGGGGAGGTGAATAATCACTATCACTTCTGAAAAGATGATGCAAATCAGAAGAGCAGTTTTGGGTGGAAAGTGGAAATACATCTTCAGTCAGGTTCAGAGAATCTGTTCCGAAATCCGAACATGTTATAATTATAGTTCATAGTGATGACAGAAGCCTCAATGCTCCAAGAGCTTTGGCTTTTATCCAAAAAGACACGAAGTTCAGTTTTCTTTAATTAGCTTAATTTCTTTATTTGGAATGTTTTAGATTGATTGGACATTTCAAAACGATTAATATAGTCAGTGGAGAGTCCATAATGTCCACTAGAATGACCAGATTTTCGCAGCAAATTAAAGTCTTGGACATGTGTCAAAGGTTCAGGGACTGAAGATTTATAATTGTGTATATATATATATGATCAACTTTTCAGTTTTCGTTATTTTTTTGTTTATCATAGTTTTCCACCATTTGAGACAATAAGAGCATGTGCTATAAGCAATTCAAGGCAACTAAAAGCTGAAGGAAAGGAATTTTACGCCGCAAACACTCTACACAAGATGCAATCTTTGGATTGGAAAAAATAAAATGAATTAAATAATACTCGTGGCATCATGAATCATTACGGATCGTGACTAGTCATATATTGAGCTCTCAAAATTTCTATAAAATAATCTATACATCGCTGAATTCCATTTCTTCTTTCCCAGCACTAAATTGAAGATGATGAGTATCAAAGAGTTAGTTGCTATCTCTTTAAAGTTGGCACATGCAAACCCCTTATCTTATCTTCTAATGAAATCGAAGTACTCAAACTAGTGCGATCGATGAGAAAATAGCCTTTCGCCAAGTCATGTTTCAAGCCATTCACAATTATTGTACAATTTGATTTTTTTTCCGAGTGTCAACAACCATGACCGATCAGTGAATCTCAGCCAATAATGGATGATGGTAGTAATCATGAGATGCCCTGCTTATTGGCACATGGTCATAGCAAAATCAAACTAACTGTTTATATATGTTGAATGGATAGGGATCCGGTGGAGTACTTCTTATATTTGTTGATATAAATATCATAAATTTATTCTATAAATGTGATATATTAATAATATAAAATAACTTTTCAAATCAAAAAAATTATTTATTAGTATAATATATTACCTTATAAATATAACCAAGCAGTAACTAGCCATATAATAGTCATATCACTGAATACTTATTATTTTTTAAATAAATAAGTAAAAATAAAATAAAATACCATGCATGTACTTAAATACATTATAAGCTTCGTACTTGTTACAACATATAAAAAACGTCTACTCAAACATAAATCTATTTTAATATTATAAATTATACGTAAGAAAAATTTTCTTTTAAGTTATAAAACCATAGTAAAAGAAATAATATTTTGAATAGTTTCAAAAAGTCGGAGAAAGAGTCACATCCTTTACTAAAAAATAAGCGCAAACTTAAGAAGTGTTAGAACTTTTTCAAATAAACTATATTTTAAGTTGTTTTAAAGGTTTTTGTCATACTCCTAATTTCTCTCAAAACTACTTGAAAGACAGGAATAGTAACGAAAAATTATTCTAAGTTCACAGGACTGAAGGCTTTATCGAGGTGTTTCTGAAGATTTTTAGTCCCTGGACTGAGAATAGCTAAAATTGATCAAAAAATAAGACTGACAAGAAAATTATTCTAAAGTCCACAAGGCTGAAGGTCTTTCGAGAAATTTTTGAGGGTTGTAAAACACATAGAATTGCTTGAAAACCAGGAAGCTGTCAGAAAATATTCTAAGTCCACAAATCCGACTGAACTCCAAATTTTCTCAAAAATTGCTCGAAAAACATGAATAAACAGAGAAAATATTCAAAATCCACGAGATCAAAAAGAGCTCTTAGACTCTCCAAAATTAGTCAAAAAATAGAAATTGAGAGAGAAATAATTCTAAGTCCATAATGTTAAATGAGCTTCTTAGATTTCTCTCAGAACGGCTCGAGAAAAAATAAAAAACAAAAAAGAAAGATTCTAAGTCCATAAGAGTCATGATAGGACTCAAGGCTCAAAAGTGGTTACCAGCAGTTTACCAACAGACAAAGATGTAACAATACGAAAAAGAATCGTGGACAATAGCAATTATAAAAGAAACCACAACCGACAGCATGATTAGAAGCCAGTTGTGGATAATGGGCAGCAATTGAAGGCTGTTACCAAAAAATGCCCGCGAAAAAAAGGAGAATGATGGTGGTCTCTCTTGCCTATAAATACTTCAAGGCTTGTCTTTCAAAATGATGACTTTTTACACTTAGACAGCATATTTAAAAATCTCTGCACGCTTAAACTTGGAGACACACAGTTGTCGCTGTTCGTTGTTGTTAAAGAGTCGTACATTTACATTCTTGCACATTTACGTTTTTGCATTTATTTTAGTTTAGTTTGTTTATTTATGTTCTTGCAATTTAGTTCTGGTTTAACACATTTTTGTAAACACCTCTACATTTGATCAAGTTCTGTATAATCATCATTTGCTATTTCTGTTTAATCCCCTACGTTACAACGCCTATTTAAGCATCATGTTAACAACACACTTAAAAAGAATTCAAAAGAATCTAAATCCAGTTCTCAAATTACTCTTTCATTATTTATTTATAAATTGTTATTTTTGGTAAACAATTTTACATCACATTTTGACGTGATTTTATTAGATTTTCAAACATTAACATATTAAAGTTTCTCCTTTCATAGCTGGCTTATGTTATGCACAATCTATTATTATCTATGCAATCTATTATATATCCTAAGAGGCGAGTATATATATATATATATATATATAGAGTAAAACTTCACTTGGAAACGTTAGACCACTAAATTCTTCAATCTGGCTTTTATAGTTTCGATCATGTATGGTAAGTCAGAACTCCGAATTCTGAAAACAGTTGATGATTGGCTTCAATCCAAAAAAACAGTGGAGAGGAATGGACTTTTGAGACTACCCACTGTCCTTGGCAGTTCGCTGTGGAACCCTAACGCAAAGTTGGATCCGTTAAAATGAATTAATTTTAAATATTTTTTTAAATATGTTTGTTAAAAAGTAAAATATAATTATGTTAATTATTAAATATAATTAAAATATACATATTCAAATTAGTTTTAACTATAAATTTATATTAAAACATACACTTTTCATTAAAATACGTTTAAGCAGGCTAGTTGACCTAAAACAGTCCTCATATACATCTTTGCCAATTGATCCACGAGTATTTTTGGCCCAAAAGAAGCCTCGTTGGCATGTCAGCTGTTTTGTAAAAAAACACTACAGAGCGATGAGAATCTGTATGCTCAAGCCCAACCCATGAACCCAAGTTCAAGTCTGTTTTTTTTTTTTTTCTGGATAATTTTATCACAGCAAAAAAGTAATTTTTAAAGTTATCATGTTTAAAGAATTTATTTATTTGTCCTTACAAAGTTAGAAGGACACTATGAACATGTAAAAGTTACAACTCTATTCCCTCCCTTAATCCCCAGCCATTTCCTGGACTTAAAAAAAAGAATTGCCATTGTGATATTCGTCCAAAAAATTAGTATTCTGCAGTGAATTATGACATTGACTTCTATTTGAGACACTTGGGAATTCCAATTAAATAATATCATTGTTAGAAAAATAAATAAAAACGTAGTGATAATATTTTAGAATGTACCTAATTCATATAAAATATTATCATAAAACTTTCCAACAGAAAAAAAAAAAATGATTTATTTCAAAACGAAGAAATTTCACATAAAATCTTCAAGAATTGGGGTGAAATTTTCAGTTAAGATTTCAGTGGGTTATCACTTTTTATAGTGGGCGAGAATAATGCTAGTCCAAGTAATTAACTATAGATGATGATCATGACACCAAAATTGGCACGGTCCAATTTGCGGATAACAAACAAATGGTTAATAAAGCTAAGAGGTTGCATGTGCTTTCCATCAAGCACCTTAAAATTTTAATTAGAAATAGTTCAACCTTGCTCATCAATGAAAATTAATAGGTTTTATTTGCTAACCAATAGCGATTAGGAGCTAAATGCACGTAAACTAATCCACAACATGAAAATCACATTCACATCACAGTAACAAACTAATAATGTAGGTTTCTATTATTTACAAAATAGTTTTATTTATGATTTATCCTCTGATTATGAAGAATATTTAGAACAATTAAAATGTGTGTCTGTGTGGGAATAAGAATAAAGAATGAGAGGGTTTGCTCCCAAGAAAGCGGGTTCACCCCTTCTCCATTCGTCAATCGTCAACCACACTTGTTCATTTTCATTTTCTCTCTTAAATAACTTTCCCCATTTTCACCTTCTTCATTTTCAAGCAGGCGCTGTAAATTTGTCTTTATTAATTTCATTGTCATTAGAGTCACGTGATTATTGTGGCTATTTGTTTGTATATAGGTTTTGTGTCGAATTGGTTTATCCAAAGCCAAAAGGAGAAGGCGCTTCGCATGGAGGTAGGGGAAGAGAATACGAATTGACACATTGAGAGGATATGGCAGATCTTTCCTTACCGTGGTCTTCATTTGTTTAAATCATCGGTGAATTTCATTTTATTTTCTGAAATTGTCCCAATTTGAATGCATTTTGATTTATGGATTTGGAATCTTCCGGTGATTCGGTGAGTTGCGGCAAATACTGTGAAGGTGAGTGTAATTGCAACATGGAAGGGGATTGGCACCGTTCCGTGAAACGGAAACACGATGGTTTGGAACAGGATTGCCAATTCCCCGTGGCACGGGTGGAAATTGGGAGTGAATGTATTGCATTACGGCAGGCTGTGAGTAGTCAACAGAAAGCTATACAGAATTTGTATGCTGAATTGGAAGAGGAGAGGAATGCGGCTTCCTCGGCCGCGAATGAGACAATGTCAATGATATTGAGGTTGCAAAGGGAAAAGGCTGAACTTCAAATGGAAGCTCGTCAATTCAAGCGGTTCGCGGAGGAGAGGACGTCGCACGATCAGCAGGAGCTATTAGCATTGGAGGATTTGTTGTACAAGAGAGAGCAGGCAATTCAGTCACTCATGTGTGAAGTTCAGGCTTATAAGCACAGGTTGATGAGTTTTGGCCTCAGTGAATCAGAGGCAGAAAGGGATCAGTATGAATTTCCCCCTTATGAGTACCCTGCTTTGAGATGTAAGGTAATGCATGCTTCTGTTGATGGTGATAATGACGACATAGACATTGAGAAATATGTATTTGGGGAAACTCCAAGGGATCGTTTGAGGAACCTGGAAAGTAGGATATCTCAAATGGAGAGAAGTCCCACTTATAGCCAGATGGATGGGGATTTTTCAGGGAAAAATATTCTAGAGAAGGTGATAGTTGGACACTCTCCGAGACGAAATAAACATAACAGGAAATTTTCCTGTGATTCGTCTTCATTAGGCCCTGAGTATATGATGGATTCTCCTAAGTTCACTGGTAGTGTTAGGAAGATAGATTATATCTCGCAAGCGGAGGACCTTTCCAATTTGAAGAAAATGGACAATGCATCAGAAGCTGGTGATGATATGATTGACAGAGTCTATACAATTGACTCTGAGTTCAAGGCTGGAGCTGGTGTTTATGATGATTATGCAGCCACTCCAAGGGAGTATGTTAATCATGCAGATTTTGAAGATCCGTACATAAAGAAGCTTTACATGAGGCTTCAAGCACTTGAGGCTGATAGGGAATCAATGAGGCAGGCAATCATTTCAATGCGCACTGATAAAGCACAGCTTGTTTTGCTGAAGGAAATAGCTCAACAATTGTGCAAAGAGATGTCACAGCAGAAAAAAATGACAGCAAGATCTTTTATTGGCAGCTTGTCCTTCTTGACTGTTTTTAAGGTAATTTAAAGACAATTGGTATCTGCAATCTGATAATATGGACTTGCATATAATCTCTTTCCATTTCATTCGTCTCATGATTGAAGATTTTTATAGAAGCACTTGTGCTATTTGATCTTTCTTTTTATGTTCAGTGGATTGCATCTATTGTCTTCTGGAGAAGGAAAGCTCATCAAATCAAGTAAGTAGTTAGGAGCTTCAGTCTTTGTTTCAAAATTTATTTACCTCACCTAGTGAGATAAATAATATCTGATTGTTGAGTTAACGAAGTGGTAGTCAAGTGAAGTGAGCACGATCTGGCATAATTCTCACAAACCACCTTAGCCAGAAATCATGCAAAGAAAACAGTAGTCTATAATTCAAGCAGCCTTGTAATGCATAATGCTTGCAAATGAATGTCTTAACTTTGACCCAGCCATTCTATATTTCTGTAGGTTCTTCTTTTTCCTGTGAAATTTCACTGCCTGGCCTTTGATGTGTCAAATATACTAGTCATATATTGCATTAAAAGCTAGACGTGAATATGTGGTAATCTCTTTAAAAATGTACTTTTTGGTTTACAACACCACCAACAGTGAGTGTAAAAATCTTTGAATGATTATAAATTAATTCTTATTAATTGTATATTGATGCACAGTCCGCTCAAAACAGACTTTATTAGAACAACAAATTCGCTGCGTTATATCCATTAATTAAGATAATATTTCTTACAGGTGAGTTTAGGGGGTACATTTGTCTTTTCTTAACTTGGGTGCAAAGAGAAAATTGGTTAGGGGAATTGAATGATTCGTAATTCACTGAACTGGTTGTGACTGTAGGTATATGTTTGGGCTACCATCTGACAGCGTCGGCTTGCTGATGCTGCTTGACAAGGGACCCCATGTAGGGTCATGGAGATATCTTCAAAATACACAAGTGGGAGATTAGTACTCATGTTTAGCTTACAGGGCAGGCTCATATGTGGGAGCGCCAGCTGAATCTCCATCATACTATACGGTATATATACATAATTTTTTGTCCTTTCTTTTTTCCCCTAGATTTTTCTCGCCAAAGAAGTGGTGTTTTGATGAGTGTTCTTTTGTTTCTTTTGTATGAAATTAATTGTAATTTGTTGATTGATTGGTTAAACTTGGATAGTCCAAGACATTTGAGCTCGTATGGTTTGTTAAAGGGGAGCCGAGGTACATGTCTTTGGACAGTCCTCTCCTGTAAATGGCACATTGAAAGTTTCCGCATCATGCAGTTTCTATTCGCTTTTCATATTCAATCATAGGGAGTGGTAGCGTTGTTTGTGGAAACGCAGATTCTGGTTGGAATATATTATCCGTATATTATAGGACGCCCGGATATGGGCAAAAGAAATTTGCAGTTGTTCTTTCCTTTATGCATCTCATGACTGAGGTTCAGTTTTCGGGAGAAACACGTTTGACCCAAAAAATGATCTAAAATAGGGGAAGGCGTGCGTTTGACCGTGAGGTTTTATGTAGATAAATATTGCAATTATTATATAAAATAAATATTTCGTATAAATACTAATATTCAAATAAAATTTCAAAATTTATGTTTTCTATTATGTATAAATTACATTAAAAATATTGTTAAGATTTAATAAAAATTTAAATCAATTCGTAAAGTTGATTTTAAGTGAAAAAATGATAAAGATTTTATTTAAAAAACAAATATTTATTACATGAAAATATACTTTTAAATATAAATCATTTTTATATATTTAAATTAATTTTAAATGTTCATAAAATCCATAGTTTAATCGTATATAATATATATTCAATCTGGGCATCGCCCGAATTCTGATATAATCATTTTATAAATCAGGGTAAGATAATACATCAATTTTTAATGTATTTTAATCACTTATTATCTGGTAATTTCTTCCCCGAACAAAGCTGGAATTTGCTTTCTAACATTACAGACAAGAATCTTATTTGAAAAAAAATGACAAAAAAAAAGTATTTCGCAAAACTCGAAAGGACTCCTGTCAACTCTATAATTAATTTTGTTATCTGTATATGTTGTAACTCATGATAGAATATAAAAATTGATTTTTATTAACTTAACTAGTAAATTAAAATTCTTTCATTTACGATTAAATTAAAACTGATGGAGTTTATTTTACTTCTTTAACTTAAAAAAAAAGAAGCTTGAAGAAACTTATTATAAGTTGATTACTTCTGAAGGTTATTTTGACTGTTTTAAAAACATTAAAAATAAAAAATATGTTGGAAATAATTTTCGATAAGAGAACAAATATATATATATATATATATATATATATATATATATATATATATATATGTATGTATATGAAGTTTTGGGTTTTGAAAGCTTTGCTGCATATCCTTGAGCTGCGCAGATCAGGCCCCTCGGCGGCGACCGCTCTAGAAGCCTCGGATTTGACGATGCGGAGCTTCAGAATGAGGAACTTGTTGTCCCGTGTCAAAAGACGGACAAACAAAAACATCACAAACAGAAACGGAGTCACACGCAAACTCAGAAACCTAAACTGCATTTCCGTTTCAAAAGAGTCGCCATGTCAAATGGAGGAAGAAGAAGAAGAAGGTTTCAGCATCAAAAGCTCTGCCCCATCACACACCCACGGTGTTCAACCCTTGGGCAACCTTTATCTGAACCCAGGTTCCATCAACTCCAGAGACACTGGGTTAGGTAACCTCCATACCCTTTCGGATGAGCTTGTCCTTGACGTTCTTGGATTTTTGGATGCTACCAACTTGGGGGTCTTGGCCACTGTGAGCAAATCTTTTTATGTTTTCACCAACCATGAACCACTTTGGAGGAATCTTGTGTTGGAGAATCTTCTTGCTGGGTTTCGCTACAACGGGTCTTGGAAATCCACTTATGTTGCTGCTTGTTGCCCTTCATTTGATATCTCAACCAGTGCTCTTCGGAGTTTCAAAGTTAGAGACTTTTATTCGGATTATCTTTTCCAGAGTTGGCTCTGTGCGAATCTTGAAATGAAGCCCGAGTGGTTAGAGAGGGATAATATAGTTAGAAAGAGAGGAATTTCGGTTGAAGAGTTTGTGTTGAGTTTTGAGGAGCCTAATAAGCCTGTGTTGTTGGAAGGGTGTGTTGATAATTGGGATGCATTGAGAAATTGGGATAGAGATTATTTAGTGCGGTTGTGTGGTGATGTTAAGTTTTCTGTTGGGCCTGTGGAGATGAAGCTTGGAGACTATTTTGGGTACTCGGATCAAGTTAGAGAAGAAAGACCATTGTATTTGTTTGATCCAAAGTTTGCTGAAAAAGTTCCGAAATTGGGTTCGGAATATGAAGTGCCAGTGTACTTTCAGGAGGACTTGTTTGGTGTTTTGGGCAATGAGAGGCCCGATTACAGGTGGATTATTATTGGACCAGTTGGGTCTGGATCATCTTTCCATGTTGATCCGAATTCAACTTCGGCTTGGAATGCGGTGATCAAGGGCTCCAAGAAATGGATATTGTTCCCTCCTGATGTAATTCCGCCTGGCGTTCATCCTAGTGCTGATGGTGCAGAGGTGGCATCTCCCGTTTCAATAATTGAATGGTTCATGAACTTTTATGGTGCAACAAAAAGTTGGAAAAAGAAACCAATTGAGTGCATATGTAAAGCTGGAGAGGTTATCTTTGTGCCTAACGGATGGTGGCATTTAGTGATCAACCTGGAAGAATCTATAGCCATAACCCAAAACTATGTTAGTAGGTGAGGTTCTTTGTTGTTTTTTGTAGGTTTTTGAAGTTTTATTATAAAATACTCAATTATATGAGATTCGTTATAGTTACTGTGGATTTTCTATTGGTTGAAACTAAGGGTAAATGTGTACACTTTTAAGCTAATAATAGTTACAGTGACAAACGTCATTTGGCTCAGATTCTGAATGAACCAGTGCTGGTCATTTTATCCCCTTAGTTGTAGTTTGATACGTGCTTGGCTTTTGAACGGTAAGATGGATTGATTAGTTAATTTTTGTTTTGTAAGTAATTGAGTCCTGATATTAGTTGTATTCATTAGATATTGTATGACAACAACCTGAGAATCTTGAAGGAAGCAGATATTTTGATTGAAACATTTTGTTAGAATACCCATTGTTTGTTGTTGATGTTAAAATATCCATTTGCAACTCAGAATTTGGCAATTTAGAGTACCATCCTTTATTCTAGACATTGAAAATATTTGGACTCATTTTGCAGTAACTAAAGGTCAGCAAATGTTCATTGCCTGGTTTATGATAGCATGGGTCAATTATGGATCTCTGAGCTATTGCAGTTTGCATGACTTATCCTACTAGTAATTAGGGTGAGTGAAAATTTATCATATGTATGTCTATGCAGTGTTGGACACTGATTAGATGCTGGGTTAAGTCACCTATGATGCTAGCTTGATCTCACCTTAGTCAAACAGCTCCTTCAGGGAGTTACCTACATACGCCTGAAGGAAAGTTTTTTTTTTTTTCCTTGCTGTAGCTAATGCCTAAAACAGATGAGCAAAATGCATATGCCGATAACAACAGCATGCTTGGACTTGTCTTAGAACACTTATTAAAACTCATTAAATTAATTCCATATATTAATACTAACTAACTAATAATTTAATGACATTTCAAATTTAGATTTGGCTTTGTATTTTGCATGTGCATTTGGTAATCTAATATCATATGGTTGGCGGTCATTTGTTACAGGAGAAATGTGTTAAATGTATTGGATTTTCTTAAAAGGCCAAATGCTAGCACATTGGTATCTGGAACAAGGGATCGAGTGAATTTATATGATAAGTTTAAGAATGCTATTGAGGCTTCTTTTCCTGGAGAAATTGATGAACTGACTCAAAAAGAAGAAGAGAGAAAGACCCAGCGGAGGAAACTTTCCTTCTGGGATTCTGTCACAGATGCTAACATGGGAGCTTTCAAGTTCTCTTTCTAGAGATATACATACTCAGCCACAATTAGTATTGGCTGATCCAAATTTCAGATAGATGATTTAAATCAATTTTGACATTTTAGTTAGTTTTCCATTGATTGTACTCTTTCAATTTTTTAAGGAGCTATCCATTTCATGAGAATCCTCGGTTTTTCAGCTCTTGGTTGGTAATTATCAAAACTGCAAAACCATTGATTTTCAGCTCCCGCTTAGTGGACTTCTGTTGTTTTTCTTATCAGCCAAGAAATTCATTATAATGAGGAGTACAACAAAAGTTCAGTAGCACATTAATTCAGATCCAAGGATAGATGATCAATCATAAAAAGAGCAAGATGCCTCACATCTAGTTTTATTCCAAATCCAGGACCGAATCTGTACAAGTTCCAGTAATCTATCAAAATCCAACCCTACATTCTTTTAATACCATTTCATTTCTGAACAACCAACCACACAGACCATAAAATCAAGGTAGTTAAAATCGGGATTTTACTTTAAATCGTAAAAGAGAGTGAAAATTGTAAATCGTAAAATTGTAAATTGAATCGTAAAATTTTATAAAATTCATATATCTGATATAAATTCATATTATTCATATAAAATATCATAAATTAAGGAAAAAAAAGTTTCAAATCAGTAAAGTACTTAAACAATGTAGCACTCATAAATCATAATTTATTCCATAAGAATGTAATGCATTTACATGAATAAAAAATAGACCAGAACAGAAAAGATGCAAGAACAACAATAATAGATTTAGTTGCAGACCAGGTTGCACGCACTAGGAGGACTGTTGAATGTTGACAACAATGTTAGGGTTCAAAGCTGCTAGAGGCAAATTAGATTCCCTAAAAAGGAGATATATGAAAGAGGCGTACGATAGGATTCAACAAAATAGACTTTGCGAGAAATTTTCAAAATCGAAGTGAAATCGTAAAATCCCACAATTTGAGGGATTTTATGATTCAAATCGAGATTTTACAAAGATTTTACTCAATTAGGATTTTATCTACGATTTAAATCGGTGAGACTTTCAAAATCGTAAAATCGTAAGATTTTAAGATTCAAATCGGGATTTTAACTACCTTGCATAAAATTGCAAACCAAATAACCATCAAAAGTTGTTTTCTTTTCTTCCCATGTACCATTCCAATGTGTTGCGCAAGGTGCATTTGGCTATTTTCTGGGAAGAGCCGTGAGTATCTCAAACCATGCATTGCACTTCTGCTATAATGAGTATAAACTATGAATTTCTACATGAGAAAAAGAGGTGAGTTTGAAGAGTCCTCCATACATTTGCAGAAAGGACACAGATTGTTGTCCACCCCAGTTCCTCTTTGTCGGAAGTCTGTCAAGGAGCACCTTCCATGCACATGCTATGACTTTTAAAGGAACAAATCGAGCTCAAAAGTGCCTGAAAAAAAGTCTTATCTGCAGTAATACAATCCTTTTGAAGACAATGTGACAAACATAAGCATATATATATATATATTATTTTTTTCCATTCAAAAAGAGGTATTCTCCGGGGAAAATTCCAGCTCCAAATTCCTTTGAACCACACTTCTATACATTCACAGAACGTTAGTGGACTTATGTAACCTTAGTAGGACCATGTTTTGATGTCCCCAAAGCCTCATGAACTAAATGGTTTATATGCCTTGAACGACTTTGTATGAGTGAAGTATGCAAGGTATTCATATATTGAAAAATACCTTTGAGATAGACAAGGGAAATCAGTTGCTCCTTAACTAGTTTTCTCTTAATTAGGTCACTCTCTGTGCTGTTGTTTGCTATTTGGACTATTTGACTCCTTGATCAATTTGGTTCTGTTGAGAATCTTCCTAGTACTCTGTGAATTCTTAATCAATTTTGAAGTAAAATGTTGTTTATGTTCGTCGTTGGGTTCTTAAGGTAAGCTGGATGTATGGTTTCTTGATTGTAAACTCTCCTTGGTGCAAGGAGTTATATATGAACTGGAAAAGACTCTTGTCTCGAATTGTTGGAACATTAGGCCTGGCATCTTTTGCCTCATCTTTAGACTTTACGTATAACTTGTGTTATTTTGCTATCAAAAGTACTTCGGGCTGAAAAAATAATAATGAGGTTTAGTTGAAAAGATTATTTCTTGTTAATAGATTAAAATTTGTATTCTACATTTGTAGAATCAGGGTGTCAAAAGCACTATTACAGTATTACCTAGACACTTACTATGGAACTTAATAAGTTGTCTACTTTCAAATTGAGACCCAAAATTGTTTTTGCATACTAATACAAGTGGAAATGAACTAAATGGAGTTGGTTTGATGTAACAGTACCCATTCCTTAGGGGAGTCGACAGGATAGCCTCATGAAATTGCATAAGAACTTAGACTGCTGTATAACTATTTCAAATAAAAGCTCCAAACATGGAATCGAATGATTCTGATATTAAAAAACCTCGTATTTTTTTTTTTTTACTGCAGATTGTAGAATCTGTTATGTTGCTCCAGTTGCCTTATCGTTCAATAATATTTTTTGGCACCGAAACATGAGCAGCACTAGTGCTAGTAACACGATTCTGGAAACGCTGAGGCTGAAGAGTCCCAAGCTCGTGCTACTGGAGTGTTGTTCCAAACTTGGGGACCTCAAAATCATCCATGCCCATATGCTGAGAACCCATGTCTTCTTCGACGTGTTTGCAGTGAGTCGCCTCGTTGCTTTCTGCATAAACTCCACTAACTTGCTGCATTACGCCATCAAAGTCGCGTCCCAAATACAGAACCCCAACCTCTTCATCTACAACGCATTGATTCGTGGTTGTTCCACCAGCGAAAACCCATCAAATTCCTTTCACTATTATATCAAAGCTCAACGCTTTGGTCTCTTTCCTGATAATATCACTCACCCTTTTTTGGTTAAGGCGTGTACTCAGCTTGAGTCTGCCGCTATGGGCATGCAAGCACATGGTCAAATCATTAAGTATGGATTTGAACAAGATTGTTATGTTCAAAACTCTCTCGTTCATATGTATGCTACTGTTGGGGATATAAAGGCTGCAAGGAGCATTTTTCAGAGGGTGCATCGTTTTGATATAGTCTCATGGACTTGCATGATTGCCGGTTATCATAGATGTGGGGATGTTGTGGCTGCACGTGAGTTGTTTGATAGAATGCCGGAGAAGAATTTGGTGACGTGGAGTACGATGTTCAGTGGTTATGCTCGGAATAATTGTTTTGATAAAGCGGTTGAGCTGTTTGAGGTTCTTCAGGCAGAAGGGGTGGTGGCTAATGAGACCGTGATGGTGGGTGTGATATCTTCTTGTGCTCATTTAGGGGCTCTTGATATGGGAGAGAAAGCTCATGAGTATGTGATGAGGCATAACTTGACTTTGAATCTGATTCTTGGGACAGCTATTGTTGACATGTATGCAAGATGTGGGAATGTTCAGAAAGCTGTTCAGGTTTTTGAGCAACTACCAGAAAAGGATGTGCTTTGTTGGACAGCTTTGATTGCTGGATTGGCCGCTCACGGTTATGCAGAGACAGCACTAGAGTATTTGTCAGAAATGGTGAGAACGGGGCTGGTTCCTAGAGACATCACATTCACTGCAGTGTTGACAGCTTGTAGCCATGGAGGACTGGTTGAGAGAGGTTTGGAAATATTCGAAAGCATGAAACGAGATCATGGGGTGGAACCAAGATTGGAGCACTATGGATGTATGGTTGATCTTCTTGGCCGTGCAGGGAAGCTGACAGAGGCAGAAAATTTTGTTCTTAAAATGCCTGTGAAGCCAAATGCTCCAATATGGGGAGCACTGCTAGGAGCTTGTAGGATCCACAGAAATGTAGAAGTTGGGGAAAGGGTGGGAAAGATTTTGATCCAGATGGAACCAGAACATAGTGGTTATTATGTGCTACTCTCCAACATATATGCTCGCACAAACAAGTGGAAAGATGTTACTATCATGAGACGGATGATGAAGGAAAAAGGAGTTAGAAAGCCACCTGGATATAGTCTCATTGAGGTAGATGGAAAAATTCATGAATTTACAATTGGAGATAAAACACACCCGGAAATAGAGAAAATAGAAAGAGTGTGGGAAGATATACTACAGCAAATAAAATTAGCTGGTTACGTTGAAAACACAGCTGAGACATTGTTTGACATTGATGAAGAGGAAAAGGAAGATGCACTTCACAGGCATAGTGAGAAGCTGGCCATTGCATATGGAATTATGAATATTCGACCTCCTACGCCAATCCGGATTGTGAAAAACTTACGTGTATGTGAAGATTGTCACACAGCTACCAAGTTGATTTCTAAAGTTTTCAAAGTAGAGTTGATTGTGAGAGACCGAAACCGATTCCATCATTTTAAAGAAGGCACATGTTCTTGCATGGATTACTGGTGAAAGAGCTATGTAACTTATTAGAGATTATGGTTTTTGCAACAGGGTCGTTAACTGCATCGGATAGACCCATGATCCCAACAATTCAAACAAATCAACTACGTCGATTTGAATTAGTTTAGTTAATCAATTAATTTTATTTCAAAATAAAATATAATTAGTTTCATTTTCTGAATCATCTTTGATCAAATTCAAACCCCCTTAATCATTCGATCAAGCTTTTTTTCTTAAACTTTTTAAATCTCAGTATTTAAATATCCTTTTTTAAAATTCATTAACCTTCTAGCGTTATTAGGTATATATGATTATTTTAAATGCAAAAATCAACTATTGGAATAATTTCATATTCTTTCGTAATCTCAACTTAAAAAGGTGGCAACACATAAATTTAAAATTACTATCTACTTAACAGATCTCCAAACATAACTTATTTCACACAACCAATTATCTCAATAATAAATAATTCATATATTCATAATAAATTAATTTACTTGTTTCAACTAATACAAACACTTATTATTTGAAGTTTGTTTTATATATTAGTTAACAAGATTATGATGTCTAAAGTTACAATTTTAAGAAAATTATATATTAATTAAAATGGAATCAATACTGCGAATTGATTTAATTGTTTAAATTATTGAAGTGTACATAACTCTTAAAATTTGCAATAATACAAAAATCACAAGTTATATAACAAGAGGTTATATGAGAATGAAAACTAAAAAATATCTTAATCCGGTGACCTAAATCAAACCAATCCAATATTATTTCAACTCACAAGATTTATAGATTTGTAATCGTGAATGAAATCTTCAACATGCCCCAATTGCCAGAATTAGCAAGTCGCAATTGGCATGGATATTACAAATTCTTGGTTGGCAACATGTTCCTCCAGTTTTCCATTTCGAAGTACAAAATTCCTTGTTTTTAATTTTCTGGAGGTTCAACGGACGGTTAGGAATTTAAACAAACTAGCCATCAATGTGATGAATATAAGTTACTCACTTGTTTTGATATGATTGATTATAGAGGGGATAGTGATGCTGTATAAGAACCATCACAGTACTTCACGCCTTTTAGGGAACATGAGCACAGTCGAGACGTGACTACGGCTTCTGGAATGCCAAATGTACCACTGCAGTCTTGCAAACTTTCACCACAGGGAGCTTTAGATTCCGACTTCTCACAAGTTGATTTTAGGGCAACATTCAAGCCAACGGACATAGGTTCCGTCGCAAAACTGAGTCACAAGATAGACTAAACATATTTAGGTTTCAAATATCTCTGTATGTTGCAACTAGTTTTAATTGAATAGTGTGCAGCAAAAACCAGTAACATCAGAGCAGCATAAACGCTCATGAAATTCTACTTATTTATCCAAGTTCAGTGTGAAACAATCTGCAAGTTAACATAATTAAGTACTAGGGGATGGGTAGGAGTAAATATCTGGAATTCAAGATCATGTAAGTTCTATCTTTTTGTTTGGGATTAATTAAAATAATAATATAAAAAGGATAATTATCCTGACCTGTCTGAAGTTTATTATACATCTTTATTTGAAAAATTACCTCCCCTATTTAATGTACCAATTACCAAATGCAATTTCCTCTTTCATTTGAAAATTACACCCTTACACCTGCCTCCTAACATATGTAAATTACACATTTTTACACTCGGGAGTGATGGTGTGATTTCTAATATAGAAGTGTTGTAATAACTAATAAGCGTTATTCCTTAAAAACAACGTAAAGGCGCGTTTGATTTTAGAAAACATCTAATTGTCACATTACAAAAGTATCATCCTGTTTTCACTTTTTACTTTATTTTCTGTTGTAAGGAATTAGCACAAGAAACAGTAAAATTTCTTTTATTACGAAAAAATACAAAAATACTACTCCATTTTCACTGAGCAAATTCTTGAAAAATATGAACGAAATAAAAAGTGGCAATTTTGTAATTAACCGCAAAAACAAGAAATAAAAACACTTTTTTTTCCAAACCAAACTACTGACCTTAATTATTCCTAATATTCATTGGACCCACCTAAATTTCCTATTCACATATTAGGAAGCCTCATTACCAGAGCTCAAACATTTAATGACTCCGAAAACTCTCTAGCCGTTGGTCCACATTAGCGTAACACAAGCTCCTTAGTCCAGACTCCAGACAACCCCCCAATCGTAGGAGTCTGGGCTCGGATTGACATGTCTGTAAAACTACGGTTCATTACCGAGTCTTTTAAGGTTAAATTAAGGTTACTTGAATTTGCATGTATACCCATATTGTCGCCCATTCTCCAGCATGCGGCTTGCACCGCTACGTAAGAATAACTAAAAACAGCTTACTGTTATTGATCACGTGAATTTATCCTATCTAAAATATCGAACACTAAAACAAGTATCAAAAAGCAAAGGTTACTCGTACCTGGCCTCAAAGCTTCTTCCTTCAGAGGTCATCAATGCACATATACCACCAATAATCCAAGGTGGAAGAAATGCATCCTTAATTTCGATGGTAGAAAGGCCATCTGATGACCCTCGTGCAGTGTCACCATCTATCCATATAGACCCATTATAAGAAACAGCAATGTCTTCAGCTCTTCTCGTCTCCATGCATTTAATCTGAGAAACAAAAGTACATGTTCCAATTGTAGATTTTAACAGACGAAAAATAACTTCTGTAGCTTAAAACAAACTGGACAAAAAGAATTTCAAATTTTTAAGTTTTGCGTTCGGCCGTTGCTCTCCATGGTTTTTTAGAAGAAAATGGTACATCGGTACTGGATCAATGCACTGATTTAACAATTTAAGCAACTAGTTATAATTGGTTTCAATAACTAACGTGACAAATTGCAGAAACAAAGCACAGGAAAAGTAAAATGCAAGAAAATGAAGTCAAGGACGCATACATCAGGAGAAGACAAAGCAGAATTTTGAAACGGTACAGGTGAGCACAATACAGGTACGTCCACACCTGAAAGTGAGGTCAAGAGAGATCTACAGAGTGCAGACAATAAAAAGTTAGCCAGCCACAAGATTGTAAATTTGAGAGTAAACATCAAATAAGTCTAAGGGAGAGTCTGAAAGATATTATTTAGGCTAATGAAAGTGACTTATGATCTTTTTAATCTGTTTTTCTTAAACTTCGCACTAAACTTCACAGCCACACTTATGTGTAAGCTCACATTTGATAAAAACTAAATAAATATTAAATTAAATTATTTATCCAAATGTGCCCCAAGCCAATGACGTATAAAAACCAGAAAGAAAGCTATCAAGAAATTAAAAGGTCAGTCACCTGTAGTTTAGTAAAAGGTCATATAAACCATGTACATTGTTGTTGCCACTAAAAACCAGCAAAGATTCTGGGCTATTGTCAACATCAGAAAATGACCTTAATCTTCGGGTCTGCATTATTTGAAATAAAAAGTACCGAACAATATAAATTATACATAAAAAACTTAAATAGGTATTAGGAGTTACTTGACAGACAAACTTTGAGAACATAGTAATATATACAGGGGACGGCAAATTATTGACATGAACCACGGGACAATAACGAAGTTGAATAACTTAAGCATGGATTTGTCAACGAAATTTCCATCCATCAACTAGTTGGGTTCAATTTAGATATACTTGTAAAATGTAACCCTTTTAATAATGTAACAAAACATAATTAGAGGATAGTCTAAAAACACTTTACAACCAATTCTAATTTAAACTCCAAAGACGCTAACTGGGGCTGGGAGCCAATAGACTAGTGTAGCTTCGGTATTCAGTACAAATTTATGAATAGACTCAGAGAGATAAGCATGCTATACTAGGGAATTGTTCATTTTGATCATTAACAATGCTTAATACAAACATCAATGGAAAAGCACACGCCATATAAAAAGCATCTAGATACAAACCTGTCCTAAGTTCTGCTTCTCTATCTCTGACAACTCAACTAGATCCTCAGTAGCAACTTGTTCCACTTTTGAACGGCAAAGAGGCATAGTAAAACAAAGATCCTAATAAATAGGGTATACTTCAGAGACCACCACCAAAATAATATTAACAGGAATATTATATATATAATGATTAGAGAAAGAGAGAGAATCTGCTAAACTGCCTAAACATAAATAGTATACAGTAAAGCCCTAAAAAAAACATGAGCACTTATAAACAATCATTTCCACAAAGGCTCTAACAAAGGCCCTAGACTATAGAATCACAATACTAGCCAATTGGTTGGCAGTCAAAGACTTGGTAGGAAAAAGAAATAAGACACCTTACCATGATCTATTCAAAGACACAAACACTAGGCAACTACAATGCAATACATACTATACTCTATGACAAAGTCAAAGACTTGGTAAGAAAAACAAATAAGATATCTTACACCTACTATACGAGTTTACTTCCACTGAGAAGTTCCGAGAAACTAGAAAGAAATATCCCAACAATGAAATATTATTCTTGGCCTAGACAAACATTACCACCACCACCATCCCCAAAAAATATTCTGAGTGTATGATAGTGATACTAGACAATTAGTAACTTGTAAATAAACTATATAATACACACAATATGTGATACGAGTACAACTTACATGCTCTTTTAACAATGATCTTAAACCTCGGGTGGACTGAGAGATATAAGCATTGCATGAACATTTGGATCTCCCAGAGCTTTTGTCAGCAGTGAACATCACCACAAACTGGGACGTGCAAACTAGAAATTGAAAGGGGAAAAATTAACAAACATCAAATGTTCCAATATGAATAAATAAATATAAAAATTCTAACAAATAATGCATTATGAAGTCAGAAAGTTCAAAAAGGAATCTACATCAATAAAAGAAACAAGTGTATTTTGATCATGATAATTATTCATAATGCAGAAACAATTTAAAATCACATATAACAGCAAGAACGGAGGTATGAAAATCCACAAGAATAGAAAAAGTTAATATAGAGAGGCATCATACATAAGCAAATTTTTATAAACATTACAACTGTCTGACAAAAAAAAGGCCATTTATAATTACCATAAAAAAGGCCACAAATGTTCCCTCGAAGCTTATAATAGAGGTCTCGGAAGGATTCTTCCCAAGCTGCTTGTCGCTTCCTTAAGAATTCCAATTCTATTGCATTAAAAGAAAAAGGGAAAAAACAACTCAGAGAGAAAATAGAGAAAGAAAGAGAATGAGGAAGAAACTAGAAATGGGTATGCTGAAAACAGTTTGAGGACCTCCATCTGCTGTTGATGAGCTCAAGATTGATATGAGAGAAGGTGGTAGAACAGATTGAGGATACATCCATGAATGTAAAACTTTAAAGCCCTCAGAACCTCTAATATTGTGACTCTTGAAAGAACAATGCCGGAAGTTTGACTGAGGCATGGTACCACGAATAACTGACCTATGTGTCGTGAAATTTGGAAGTCAAAATACATTTCACAAAAAGACAACACCAAGGATAGTTGACACCAAAGCAAGCAAGAAATGAAAAATCCAAAAATTCATATAAAAGGTGCCAGAACTACATAAAACATAGACAGAGCAATCTGATATCCTTGTCTTTGCCAAAAAATGCTCTAGATAGGCAAAACAGATTTTAATGATAGAAACATGAAATATTAACATATCATGGTTACCAAGATAGAAAAAGGAATTGCGTAAGCAATATATTACTCAGCTCATGCAAATATATTGAGAGGTAGAAAGGAATTAAGGAAACCAACATACCTCATCCTTTTAATATATAAACTATGAATTGCATCCTATTCTACCAGGCTTGATGCCAATATTTAGTCCATCCTATGCACTCATGACTTACCAATTCACAGAAGAGGATGATACTATCCGCATACTGGTTTTTAGAGTAAGATCCAAGGGGACCTTCTGGCCAGGCACATGACACTCAGATAAGAAATTTCCTGCAATGGTTGTTGTCAAATCTGTGTGTCCTTTAGCTGAATCAGCAAGCACACCATTGTCATCAAAGGAATCAAGTGCAGCTAGTCCTCTTAATGCTTTACCCTATAATTTTTTTTATAGATAACTTAATTATGATACAGCCTACAGGATCTGAAATGTGAGTAAACAGGTGAGAAAAGGTCAGCCACTGTCATCATTTACCATGTCAATAGCTGCTGCCAAGCCAGAAGATCTATCAGCAGCTGACGAAAGCTCAGCAACACTTAGAAACTTTCCTTGGCTGCACTTTTCATTTGTTTGACAAGCATGTAATACACCATCTTTACTAACCTCATTTGAAGCAACAGAATTCGCTAAGCTGACAACATATTTGGAACAAGATCATCATTGAAAAAACTTAATTATTATATCAAGCAAATGAATAAGCTACTAGGCAAACCATGAAATTCCTTGCCTCCTTTTAGCCTCTAAAGTTGAAAAAACTGAAAGATTCTTCAGACTATCAATTTTCTCCGAAGATGGATTTTCCTGAGCATAGTAACAAGGTTACTTGTTCAATATCAACAACATTAACAACTCCAGATCAATGATTTAATAAAAATGCTAACTGAATAAACTAAATGAGTCAAAAGTTGGGCAAAATTATAAGTACCCTTGCATTTTCCTTTCCAGATGGAATTTTAAACCTGGGCTTTTTGGCAGCAAATACTTCATCAACCCGTGTTTCAGTGTATCTAGGGGTCCTCGACAAACCCGGTCTTTTAAATCCATTATCCACCTCAGTGGTCCTGCGAATATAAATCAAGCAAGTTCTGAGCAAATTACGAAATAATGGATTGAAAGAAAAGCAGAAGAAGCTTACTTTGTAGGATCAGCCAAGGGAGATGAAGATTCATCAGTAAGGTTCACAACACTAGTTCGCTTCAATAGCTCTCCCTGCCAATAATGTATAGTATTATAGATGTGAGAATTAAAATTTTGCCTCCACCACAATTAAATACTAGTTGGTTGGTAATATGGGGAGAAATAAATGATTATTGATAATGCAGGGAGCTTGGCAACTGACCCTAAGTTCTGACGGTGTCTTTCTTTTAACCATGGATCCACTTTTTAAAGGCCCTGCGCCAATTTGATGAGAACTCGGAGGCACAGAACTTGGCGTAGCCACTTTTGCCATGCCTCGTTCCGGAGTACCACCGCCGCGTGCACTTTAACGATCAAAACACATCCTGGCGATTGATCTGTATGTAAAGTGTAGATTTAGCGAGCGAAAAGATTTCACGAAATCACAAATTGCGCCAATCGAATGTGAATGGATGGCTTAGGTTTTCAGAATCGATTGTATAAACGAGAGAAAAGAAGAAAAAGAATTGAAAGATGAATGTGATGTACACCTGGGAGGATCCAATGTGCCGTAGCATGAGATTCAATGGCGAGCGGCGGCGTCTCAGTTTCTAGGCGCCAGAGAAAGAGGGAAGAGAGAGTGAGTGAATGGGCCAAAGAAGCGGGACCAAGTCGAAATTGTTTCATTTCATGTGCGCTTTGCATTTAAAACAAATTTTGATTTCCCTCCTGTTTGTGACGCCGTTTAGAAACGGGGTTTGTGACCGTTTGTACTTTGACAGAGTAATGAATTGACTTGAAAAACAACAATGATTGACGAAAAACAAAAATAATATATAAAACAAACATAGGAATATTTTTTTATATATGTGAATTAAAAAATATATATATCAAAATATGATGTTTTTAAAAAAATTATAAAAATTTAAAATTTAAAAATCGACGATTTTTTTTGTGTAGATATGATAAAAAAGAAAAATTACTACATTTTAAAATGATACTGGGCAATTCATTAAAAAATATTAAAAAATCAAAAATTGTCAGTGACATTTTTTAAAAATATTTTAGTCAAAAATAGTTATTGATTTTTTGAAAACATCCCATTTTTTGTAATTTTTTAAAATATTATATTTTATTTTATTTTTCATATAAAGAAAACCACAAATGTAGATTTTTTATGCATATGTAATATTAATCATTTGTTTGGTATAAATATTTGTTTTAGATAATTAGAATAATAATTGTTTTGTTCGCTTATTATTTAATTTATTGTTAAGATCGATATTAAACTTTTGTTATTTAATAATGTATATAAAAAATATAAATATTTAACGTTATTTGGTGCCTATTGATTATATTAATTAATTTTTAACATAGTTTTAATATTTTATAAATAAAATTATAATTCTTTTCTCTTATAATTCTTACACAAACAATATTACAACTATTTTTTTACACTTTTTTGTACAAACAAAATTATAAATATCTTATAACTCGTAACGATCTCAATGTAGGTATACTATGCTAAAAAAATTACATATTGTTGTTGCGAGAATATTTATAACAATTTATCATATTTATAAATTAAAAAATTACTATTTTCTTCTTTAAGTTTTTTTTATTATAGAAATCAAATGAATAAGTTCACTTCATTTTAATATATCTCAAGACATCTATTTGTTTTCACGTCAGTTATTGATATTCTTAAAACTTAGTTCTATTGTAAGTTTCATATCCAGCAAATTTCATCAACTATATGTAAAATAAAAAACATTATAGTAGCATAATAGGGCTCAATAATTACAACTCATTAATTACTTTTCTTTTCTTTTTTTCTGTTTAGTTGGACGCACAATATTTTCAAACCAATATCATCCCTCGAACTAGGAAACCACAGTCAAACAACGTCCTTAAACTCTTCGAGACCATTCAATGTCCGGTCAATTGACGCCAAGTTTCAACTATTTCACAACCATATACTACACTCCCCGAAATCTCTCAAATTTTGTCCCATTTGACCGTCATCTTCATGTGTGTATAATTTTGACACAGATTCTCACATTTCCACGTCAGTACCTTTAAATCCGAAACGTTTATATTTAACTTATTTAAACTTTTATTTAATAATCTCATTTTAATCAATGAAAAACTAGAAGTAGTTTATTTTGATAATTTATGCCAGAAACTTTATTGAAGTAAGTTAAAACTAATTTATTAAAGTTATAAATTATTTATTATAAATTGTTTTTAATCCTATCCAAACAGGTCCTTAATCACTTTTGCTATAAAAGACAGATTTAAGATGCAAATAGCTCATGTAACAAAGATTTTGACTATGGATTAAAAGTGACGGAAATTTATTTTCTGTGCACGGGCGTTTGTGCTGTGAGTAAAAAATTAATTAAACAATATTATATAAAATTAAAATACCAAGATAATTAAATATATCAATAATAATCATAATAAAAAATTGTAGATTTATTTGATGAATATATAACATTTGTAATTAAAGTTATAATACTTGAATTCAGTACGACAAGTAATAAATTAATTATTTTTCTATAAATTATACTTTCAAAATACAATTTATAGAATAAGTTATGAAACAACTCGTATAGTTACATAGCTATCAGTGATTAAAGAGGAAAACTCGTTGGATATATAAATTACTAACTCTTGTTCTCTAGGTAAGGCTTAATTTTTTTTGTTCACATTAATAAATATTTTTTAATCAATAAATGTTAAGTATTCAAAACAAACATAATTGATTACATTATTAATAATAACTTAAGTATTTTTAAATAAATTATGATATTTTTTATAAAAATAATAATTAATTGTAATTCACAGTAATCTATAGAAAAAATTTAACATGTGTAACTTATTTAATATCGTTTTTTGTGCACACATATATAAATGAAAATAACTCGCTGGCTTTATTATTTTTCATTTTGATGGCAACTATGAAAACAACTAAAGAAATGACTCAGCGCTCATACAAAATCTGCAAAATGCATCAAAGCTTGGATATCAACAGAAAGGGCAGTATGGCCTATACCCATAAAATTCTCTATTTGGTTTTCATCCATGGCGGTAACGGTGCTTCTGTTCTCCATATTCTGAGGGGTTTTCTTTCACGTGGGGAGCAACAGCAGATGCTGATACGCGGTTCCCAGTTAGTTGCTGCACGAGACCCGTAAATTCTTCAGGCCTGACATGAATGACCTTGGGAGATCTTAAATGCACTATAACGGGTGACCCATTTGCATTCGAAAGGTGCCGCTTCTTGATCTTTGTCGAGTTCCCTTTAACCATTAGAGCTGCAGGCTTTGGACCCTGCAACTGCATGTGCTTTCTTGCCTTGGAATCCATTCACAAGCTACAGAATATAAAAACGAAAAGAGGGTCTTCAGTGAGTGAAATATCGTTGGAGTATTTGAAAAATCAAAGTTACACTAGAACTTGAGAAGGGGTGTACGGATAAATGGCATGGTTAAGGTGGATAGCTATATATAGGGGTGGTGAGAGGAGGGAATGGGATAAAGTATATGACTGTGAGTAATGGTGGGTTTGGCGTGTTGAAAGTAGACAAGCACTGGGGTTTAGTCTGAATTCGTCTACGTGTGTGTGTATGTTATTTGCTTTTGGACTTGAGATACCAATATGGGGAAAAAATTGCCGCCTTTGGTGGAATGTTTGCCGGCTGTCTTGTCTGACTTGCTTTGTCTGGTCTTAAAGTCGAAGTATAGACGAGAGTTTGACACAGTAGTCACGGTCAAAGTCTTCTTATATTAATATTGTACGAGGACTTTTTTTTGTCGTTTTATTGGCCGGTTGTAAGATTAATTGTTAATTCAAATGTTGAGAAATCACCATTCAAAAATCACTGTTTCCCAGTGAGTTTTCATTTTACGCATTTTTATTCCTAGTCATCGATCGGAGTTAACGAGCCCAAAAACAAAGTAACTCAAAAATTTAAGAGATCAAATGTTAAGAGTTCAAGACTTAACAGGAATAAATAATAGAAGAGTATGATCAAAACTAAAATAAGACCAAACATTCTCAATATCAAACTGAAAAAGTTTTCGAGAATTTTTAATTGAGCAAATCAAAAGAAATAAAGGATGTCAACATTTAAAATTTTTAAAAATATTATTTAAATTAATCTCAACCTAAATATTATAAATACTCTTTTTAACAATCAAATTAACTATCAAATAGATACTCTAAGGTTTTGTTTGAGAGTTAGATTTGAGAGGAAAAGGGAGGGGAAGGGGAGAGTTAGAGGCATTTAATTTATGTTTGGGAGTTAATTATTTTGGAGGGGAAGGTTTAGGGAGTTTTTTTTAAATCCCTTAAAACCCTCTTAATCTTAATTTTACAAGTTCTCCCATTCTAGGAGTTTTTTAAAATAAAATTGTGATTGACTAATTTACCTTTCAATTTTGTTTCCGTTCTCACGATTAGGGTTACTCTTTCACTCTATCTCTTGGGCCCTCAATACACTATCTGCTCTGTATCTCTCCCACTCTCCACTCTTTGTTCTCTGCTCTCTATCTCTCTCTCCGCTCTTGGTACTCTTTGTTCTTCACTCTCTCTGCTCTTCGCTCTCTCACTCCCCTTTCTATCTCTGGTCTCACTCTACAGGTAATTTTTTATTTTCAACCAAACTAGTATGAGAAGACATGGTGTTGCCATTTGTTTTGCAATAAATAGGATTGAGGAATATTTAAAATATGTAGTTACAATATTTATTTGTATTAGCCATTATGGTAATTACCTAGTTGATAGTTGGAGACAAGTTCTTCTGTCACATAAAGATCACCAAAGTATGGTTTTCTCTCAACATAGTCTTTTATATACACATGATCAGGAATGGTGATTAAGCACAATTTGGGCTGGTAGATAGATGGGTAGCTGTTTTACTGGGTGTTCAGCTAGTAAGCTTGTGACTGGTAAAATTATTTTTAGTTTTTTTTCTAGATGAAAATTATAGTAATTTAAATCTTGGAGTTTCAAACTTTAGATTATAAACTTGTCTAGTATGATGATCTATAGTGGACTACTTGTTGCACTTTTATGTGGAAAATGAAATTTATAAATTGAACTTGAAGCATTTTCTAGCAGCATCCTTGTATCCTCAAAATTCATAATATTATTGCTTGTTTTTTCCTGTGGTCCCAAGTAATTCTATGTGTATGTGTGAAATGATTTATTCATTAAAAGCTATATTTGAGGATTTTGCTAGAGCAAGTATGTATGAACATAGTTATAAGGAGTTGATTTAATGAAGATTGCAGTACTAACAGGAAGTACCAATATTTGGGTATCATGCATTCTTGCTTATTTGTGCAGATTTAGTGTTGTAGTATTGGATGCGGCAAGTAACTAGTACAACCATTATTCAAGATGAAATATTAAACCTTTAAGTTATATATATTAATAAGCTAATTGAGTTCTTATTAGCAGAGTTCTATTTAATCGAATACAATACCAAATAAAGAGCCCAAAACTAGACTGAGAAGATCAAGCAACAGTATTTAAAGCCTTAGTGCCTATTTAACATTGTTTCATTTTTAGAACTGCACATTAATATTCATTCCCAGATATACATATGCAGGTAAGATAAGAACACAAGACCAAATAGTGTTAGCTAAGAAAAAC